TTGCAAGGTGAGGCTTGTTCTCAGCGACTGCTCATCCAGGAGGACTGTCAGCAGAAGAGCCACATCCTTAAATGCTGCATTTTCATGGTCACAGTACTTGTAAAAGATCAAGGTGGAGCCCGCAGGCAGTAACTCAAAACGATGCACCACTGCTACCTTCTTGCCTTCTCTGAACCCCGAGCTGAGCTCATCATCCACCTCCAGCTTAACAACGTCACTGTCCAATATGGCTTTGTCTGCCCCATTAATTTTGATTGTAGTTGCATTCTGGGAGAATGCAAAAGCATTGGCAATCTCATCACTAAGACACCTCAGTGCTTTCTCTGCTTCTCGACCAGCTGTGAACAGTAAGATGGCTGGTTCCAACTGCAGGTGGGAAGTATTCAGGTGCTTCTCAAGGAACACATGGGTTCTTTTCCACAGATTGGGGTCCTGACTTTGGTACGTATTTCTGAGTTTCTTCATCCGGGCCCGAAACGCTTGTAGAATTTGAGTATTTCTACTTGACAAAGTTGCATCTGGAAGGCTTAGTATTTTAATCCACAGGAAGGCAAACAATGAGATACTAATTAACAGAACAAATAACAAAGTCCATCCCTTGCAAAATCCACTCTGTGATCCATCCTCTACAGAAAAGAGGAGCAAACAACAAAAAAGAAAAAATACAGCAGAAGTTAATGAACTGATCTCACTCTTAAGCTACTGGTACAGTAGTGGAAAACAAAAGTGTACTCGTTTAAAAGAGAACCTTTCCAATTTCATTTTTCAGGTTAAAAGTAGCGTCGTGAAATCCTCACTTCTTCAGCAACATAACAACATGTCATCATTACAAGCTAATCTCAAAATGCTTCAAAATAACCAAGACACTGGACATTCTTCTGAAAAAGGAGCTGAAAGCTCCACCCTTCCTTCAACCAAATCCAAACTCAGCTTAAAATGGCGCTCACAAAGGTCAAGCTTGTTCCTCCATTTAGTTTCTATAGAAAGAGCCTGATAGAAAACCTGGCAGTACCACAACAATTTCTGTTGCTGTTTCTCCCCATCCTCTTAAATATTAACATGCATTATTTGTATCTCAAACACAGGTATCTCAATATACCAGAGAACGCATTCTCAACCAGCTTCACAAGAAAGACACATGGCAAACAGTGCACAGGAGCACAGTGAGTATCAGAAACTTGGTTTTGGTTCCGAACAGCTAAACTAACATGTGTTTGACCTACTGCAAGCATAAGGCTTGATTCTGTCCCCAGTAAAACCCATAATAAAACAGACCAAGTTCTCTGGCAACAAAGAACTTATACTAGATTTTTGGGGATTTTGTTGGGTTTTTTTTTCGTGGTGTGTGTTTTGTCTTTTAATGTTCTAACATTCATCAGGACAGCAACACAACAGCTATTAAATAATAATACGACTAGGTCAGCCTTAATTTTAATTGCAGGGCATATCTTGTAGACAGTACAGATGGAAGATGTTCAAAAGGTGGTGAAAACACTTGCCATCCATCACACAGACTCTTCCCTTCTTTAGTACTGAAAACACAGGCCCTAGTGAGCAAGGCATCGGTTCTGTTGAGGATGCTCAGTTTGAGCAGGCCAGCAAGTGGTTAAAATAATGCATGTAAGAAATAGAAGTGAAAGCAGAAGTCTTACTTTTGGCCAAGTGCTGTGACAGCTTCCTTGTGCTGGGCTGATCTCGGAATTTATTTCTGCCTGTCGAGACTAAGAAAGGAACATGAGAAATAAGACAACTATAACCCAATTCCAGTGGGGAGAGGGCTTATACTCTCACTGTAACCAGGGATATGCATTCTCCAAAAAACCTGCAACACCTAGGAACGGTCACATTTCCTTCTCTAAATCTTATTTCTGTCTAATTAACAATAGCAAGTTGGCATTGTGCCAATAAATTTAATGCAGGTCGTAATGCAGGTTGGGCAGGCCTGTTATTTCAATCAGATCACAGCCCCATATTGTGCACCAATAACTATTAGTCTATTTATTTAAATGGGTTCAGACAGCAAAATACTAGAGACATTATCCATCAAAGAGCGTTATGAGCAAATTCCCAAGACCTGCATAAATATATATATACAGTGCAATTATTGGTCAGCGTGTTTTCTTCGTTTAGTCTGTTAATTAAGAAGATGTGAGAATTTCAGGCTCCTTGAAAACTACAGCAACTGGTTTCAAAGCTGAAGGCTCTTTAATAATATATAACCAAATCAGGATACTGTCAATGACACTATTGAGAATAAACTGAACAAACACACCCTGCAGTAGTTACTTCAAGAACACCAGAAGAAATGCAACAGCCTTGCTTCTGTATGAATGTAATGACAGTAGGTGCTAAAAGCAGTTCTGGTTTAAGCCAGAGCTTGAATGTCTAAATGAGCAACTCTGTTCTGCAACTCTCTGACACCCTCAACAGGGCACAGGCAGACCCTGTCGAGCAGTCTCCCAAGAAGAAAAAGCCAAACATCAACCAACACACACATAAAAAAAAACAAGCAAACAAACCACTGAAAAACCCCCCTCTCCCATACAAAAGCACAAAAATCTGTAACAAGGAAGCGGTCATTAGATGAACAGGCTGAAGTTGACCAGCACAGAAGAATGCTGTTCCTCTCCAGGCATATCAGACAGCTAGCTCAAACCACAGCAGGCCACTGTTACCCCAGGAAGGCGACTTGTGTACATCCTGATTCACTGATACCAAAAGCGAAGGTTGCGTTCTTCCTCTCAACCCCCTGAAAGCCCTGCTCAGTGCTCTGCACTTACTGACTGCCCTGAGTCAACCCAACTCAGCCAAAAAAAAAAAAAATCAAATAAAGTGAGGGGGGAGGGGTCATTTTCCGTTGGGTGAGCAAGTTGAATAACTGATAAAATAGAGAAGTCCAGCTCTGGAACAGTGCAGCTTCTCCAGCTTCTGTGTAGGCCTGCCTCCTGACTCTCTGCATTCCCAGACAGAGTTAAAAAGCACAAGAAAAATACAAGCAGAGGGAAAGAAAAGAATTCTGTAGCATTCTCATATTTACAGGGAAGGACTTGGTATCTATTTTTCCCCACTTACTCTGTGATTTTGTAGAACGGTGCTCTTGAGTTTTCTCAAAGAAGTCAGCCTTATTTTCTGAAACCAAAGCAAAAACTATAAATGAAACTGTGACTGCATCCGAGTTTACAACAGTAAGGCGTTTCCAACACACATTTAGGTCATGCTATGTCTTCTTCAGAGCTTATCAGGGAAGGAGTACACAGTGTACTCCCAAACCAATCTCCACATGAGCCTCTCAGACCCCTCCATAAAGGAAGAAAGCTACCACATCTAACAGGAAGGGCCTGCCACCTGGTTCACCGGTTCATGTTTATGTCTTTCAGTCTGCACTCACAACTGCTTTCAGTGTTCTCCCACAAGCAATGAATTTAACTGTGTGATTAAACAATTACTGATCACATGAATTTCAAACCACTCCCTGATTCTTCAAGTGGTTAGTTATCATCTCCCCCAAACCCCCCCCCCAAAAAAAAACATTTTAAACATCTTCATTCATTCAGGTTTCAGCTCAACTCCTCCTTTGGTATCATTTGAGTACAATTAAGCAATCATTTATTACATCACAGGAAAGGCACTGACAAAACTAGCGTTGTTACCTTTCAGTGGTGTATAAACATTAGGCTGATCCCCTGCTGGACTCTTGGGTTCAGTTACATCATAATCATTCACTTTTTCCTTTGCTGGGCTCTCTGGAAGGAAGGAAGCTGAAGAACCACCTGTTAGGTAGGAAAAAAAAAAAAGATAAGAGGCCTGATATAATCACAGTACAACTAGTGCTTGTAACATCACAAAAACAGTGGACAAGATACAGTTTTTGAATGTATATGATCTATGTTTGTGCTTTTCTGGTTACAGCCTCCCAAGGGTTACTTTCTTGACACCCAAAAGCAACTAAGAATTGAAAAGCTTATGGCAGACTGAAATCCACTGCAAAGACAGCTGTCCGTGCTGCCACACAGATTTATTTTGATTGATTTATTTATTTTTTTAAAGATCTTTTGGCTTGAAATCACTTCAGAGCACAACACCACATGCTGCTTCTCTCCAGGGCACCCACTGAACCCCTCAGACAGCTGGGAAAGCACCAAGCCACACCATCAGTGTTTGTCCAACCCTGCAGCCACAGAGAGGCCAAAACCCAACATAGTGCTGCCAACAGGAAGAATAAAGTCCAGTAGGGTGACAGAAGTCGCAAAGCAAAGGTCAGGGCCGGCTGACCAGCCAAAAGCAGCACCGAAGGGGTGCTCACAAAAAAAAAAAAAAAAAAAAAAAAAAAAAAAAGGGGGGTGTTGAAAAGATAAAGCCAAAAAGATAAGGCCACCGCCTTCCTGCCATCCCACCCGGGCTGCCAGATGGGAGCTTCAGCTCAGCAGGCACCAAAACTCGAGGGCGAAGGAGCAGCAGGGCCGGGACTCACCTGCCGTCCTGCCGGCGTGGATCGGTGGCCGGGTCAGGCTGCCCGGGCTGCCGAAGAACGGCTCGCTTCCTGCAACGAGATTCCGCTTCTTGACTCCGTTATCAAAACTCCCCGCCCGCTTCCCCACTCCGCCCGCCCGCCCCACTCCGCGCCGCCCCACCGCGCCCTAAACCACAGAATCCACCGCGCTACGCCCGCCCGCGCTGCTCACCCTCCGGCGCCCCACCGGAGTCGGGCTCGGGCTCGGCCTCGGCCGCGAACCGGGGGCTCTTCCGCCTGTGCTTCAGCTCCGGGGCTTGCGGCGGAGCCTGCTCCTCGCCGTCCCCCACCATCCCGTCAGCTGCCCCGCTCCGCGCTGCACCGAAGCTGCCGCCTTTCCGCGGCGGGGGCGGCTCCGCCAACCTCACTTCCCGAGGCGGGCAGACCTCCGCGCCCGCCACTTCCGCGTCACGTGAGATAGCGCTTGGGGCGCACGCTGCGCCGCCTTTATTTCCGGCCGCGCACCACGTGACGCGGAAGTGGCCGGCACGGGGTTGGATGAATGGATGGAGCGGAGCGGAATGGAATTCTGCGGTCTTAAAGAAGCTCTGCAGTTCCTGTCCGCTGTGCCACCATGCTGTTCTGTACCTATAGCCAGAAACAAGTCAAATACACCCTTGGCCAGGTTCGAGATGGATGGCACCCAAGGGCAAAACCCTGGGAGAGGTGATGTTCTATGCAGATTCTGACCTTGGCTTCTTGCATAACAGAGCCACGAAGGGAGCGCAGCTCGCAATAGATAAGTCATTTAGGCTTTTTCCTTTACGCTTTGTCATTCTTCCTGTTTTTACAGCCCTCTACTGCATCCGGTGAGAGATTGTTCACAACAAAAGAATTTGCTGAGTCTGCTTAGAAGGGAGGTGGACTCTGTCCCCTGCACCTTCACAGGCTTTGTGGTTAACAGAGGGAGCTGCTGCCTGTTTTACTGCAGGAGGGAGAGCAGGACATCCACTGGCTGTTCCCAACCAAAGGACTGCAAACAGGATGGCACACACGTCACCTTCTGGCTTTTAGCCTAGCCTGGTCACTAGGTGTATATCCAGCCACTCTCTCAGTCCTGCTCCTCTGCAAGACAAGGGGAGGAGATAGGAGGAAAAATAAGCATCAAGGCTCAGGATAAAAGCCAAATCTGCTGACAGAAGCAATGAAAAAATCAATTATCCTATAAAGCACAGCACTGCCACGAAGAGAGTGATCTCCATCCCATCCAGACCCCGTATGTCCCTCATACTCCAGCTCTGGGTGCAGGAGCACAAAGAGCAGACCATGGAACAGGTTTTGTTCACCTCATTGACACCTTCTATCGCTAAGTACATCTCCGCCAAGTCCTGCACTGGCTGTTTATAGACCTGGTGACCAGAAATGAATTTGGTCCTTTCTGGCACTCTGCCTTCATTGCCCTAGTGCCAAGAAGGACTGGAGATCTCCTGTACACAGAATTAAAAATGTTATTTTTTCAACCTTCTTGAACTTGACCTGCTGTCTGGTACGTAGGTGTCTAAAGTTCTGGCAACAAAGGGTTTGGTGAGCAACAGCTCCACGTGGATCAAACCCCAACCATCAGCCTTCTGCTCTCCAAACTGAAGAGCTCCAGATGCAGCCTCTGCTTCATGGCAGTGTCACTTCAGTTGCCTCTCCTTGTGCTTTGTTTCAGCCATTTGGTGCTGGGCTGTATTGAGGGTGTTTGTATGCAGGTTGTAGCCTGATTTGGGGGGCTGCAGCCTCTTGCTCTTGCACTGATACCTTTCCCTTGGTGTGATGTTCCCACGTCACCAGTTCCTATGAAATAGGTCCTGGGGCAGGGGGCAGAAAAGATGGAGCATACCTATCCCATGTAGGCACAGCAACACGTATTATCATTTTGTCAAAAAGCACTGCTGAAATGTATTTAAACCTACAGCACAGAAATCCAGTATTCAGAAGTACAGCCCCGAAGGTTAATACGGAACGCTCCAGCAAACAGCCCTGCTGACAGAGATGCTGCTTCTCAGGGAGAGGAAGGAGGAAAACTACAGCTCCCAGCAGTCTACCCGGGTGCCTGAGGAAGGGCAGGGTTCACCTTTGCACCCGCAGCAGAGGATTCAGAGTGTATTCAGGGAAAGGACTCTTCAGCCAGCCCCAGGGCGAGGGCAAGCCCCAAGGCCATTGCTGGCCACCTCGCTGCTTCTAGTCGCCTCCCTGACTGGCTGCAGCCCTGCCTGGTAAGTGTCCGAAGGCACGTCATCTTTGTACTTCCTTATTCTGCGAGCGGAACAGCACAGGGAGGGGAGGGACAGGAGCCAGGCTGGGAGAGCCACACTCTGCCCCCATGCATTCCTAATTCTTGCAGTTAGCAAGAAAACTGAGCTACAGAGGCAGCCCGGGGTGGGGGGGAAGATGCCACTCCAGCTAGGAATCGAGATCTTTGGTCTGCTTGAACTCATCTTCAGCAGGGAAAGTTTCTAATGAGTTTTCCACACTGCCTGTCACTGGTTGGCTGGCAGGCATTGCACGCTGTGAGTTCATGGCATACCGTAACGGTTACATGCACTCATTTTCCTGCAACGAAATTAACTTTGAGGAGAGGGAGGAGCCTCCCCTTCCACCATGAATCACTGCGGCTGTGTTTGCTCTTATCAGGTCTACAGGCATTCAGCTGCAGTTCCTGAGGCCGAGGCGGGATGGTGGCCCTGCCAGGGGTAGGACTTGGTCAGCCACCCCATCAGGGGGGAGACGAATCCCTGGACAAGCAAAGGAGAAAGTGAAGCAAAACAGTGCTAGGACTCCAGGGAGAAAAGAAATGGAAGAGAATTCAAGTGTGGGTCTGTCCGGAGGTAAGTGAAATCTATGCTTGCTCCACCTCCTGGGAAAATCCCATTGCAAAAGGACTTCAACACTAACAATGGAAATGGAAACCAAAAAAAGCTAAGAAAAATCCACTGTTCTCCAGGCCACGTAGTAGCAGGTTACTTTCAGTTTTGTATTCCTATCAGCAACAGGTTTAGGCTTTGTGTTTGGGATGCAACTCAAGAAAGGCTGAAGACAGAGTTCAGGCTGGGAGAGCTTTCTTCTTGGTATCCCAGTGCTTCGTCATGGGAAATAGCTTTGTAATGCAGCGTGCAGAGAGAGGAACACCTCTGGGCCAGCAGCCAATTTTAAGTGTAATTAGGTAGAGCAGCTCCCACTGGCACTGCCATACACAGTAGGTGGCAGTGACAGAGTCACTTCCCTTGGGTTACCAATCAAGGAGGAGGAGATTCTGCTGCACAAAAGTATCTTAAATGCAGAAGGAATTTCAGAGTTTACAACAAATATGCTTCCAGTGAAGAAGTGAGTCTTCACGAAGTTGTATCTACCAGGTAGAGATGAAATGGTTCAGCTCGACCGTGGCATCCAAACTCTGCACCGCCCAGAAGCCAAAAATTGATAGGCATTAAATAATAAGACAGTTTTCCACCACCTAGGGATGTAAAACCTACAGAGGAGGCAGGGCAAGGTACACTTCTTGTACCCAACTTGAATAGCAGGATACTTCTTGGTTCCTCACCTTTCAGTTCCTACCATGCACTTCCATTCTCTGGTATCTTTTCTTGCACTGGAGCATTTCAGTGATAGCTTGATTCTATCTATAATCTAGGGTTGGCTTCCAAGGCAGTGGACACCACCATAATTGTTACGACCAGTATTCAACAACAGCCTTACAAATGGTTTGAGTCTATTATCTTAGTTTACTAGCCTAGGAAAAACCACTTTCTGGGGAAGAAGTGGTAACATACCCTCCATGTAATGAAGGGGCTGCCACCCCTCATAGAATGGTGTGCACAAGGTCTGCCTAGGATAGACTTCACTTTCAGCACAGCAGCCTCTAGAGTGCTGTGTTGTTTTCCTTTAACCACAAGTCCACAAGTGAAAAACGTTGATAACAAACCAGTGTTTTGACTACTGCTGAACAATGCTCGTACAGGCTCAAGGTTTTCTCTTTCTCCCAACAAGTAGGCTGAGATGGGCCCAAATTAGCTGAAGGGATATTCCATGCACTGTAATATCATGATGAGCAACACAACTGGGGTACAAGAAGAAAAAGGTGGGATGGGGTTGATTTCCAAAGTAGCCATTGTCTGGAGACTCTCTGGTCATCAGCCCGCTTGTGGGAGAAAATGAGTGATTGCCTTTGCATCACTTGGGACCCACAATCCCCATCCTTCACTTATTCAAGTGTCTCAATCTCAACCCATGTGTATTCTGACTTTTGGTTACCCCAGGTGCTCAGCTGCATCAAGGCCAACCCACCACGCACTGCTGATAAGATTTGAGCATTAAAAGTGTTTCGAGTTACTGGTGTTGGACAGATCAAAGGACAGATAGAGGATTGCATCTCTGAAAGTGACTGCTCATTGTGTGGCTACCACTACAGCCAAAGCAATAGAGAGTACTCTGTGTAAACATAAGGCAGTGTGATTCACTGGTGATGATGGGCTGGCCATGGTGGTAAATTCTCCTCCAGAGCAGCTTGTGTAGATGTATCTGAAATGCAAGAACTGGGAGTTTTAGGGGGTGGTAGTAAAGTGCTGGATGTTCTTATCTCCTGCATGGCTAACTGAGCTCACAAACTCTGATCCAAACAGCTGGGCCAGCCCAAGAGGAGGTGGAGAGCACAGCCAAGCATCCTGTACACCAAGAACCTCCCCAAGAACCTCCTGAGCACCAAGTGACCAGCACGTGGCCTGAGACTTCCTGCACACCAGAGGAGGACTCTTTAGTGTGTAATCCACCAGCTGCTCATGGGGGAGAGGTGACTCTGACAGAGTTAGATAACCCCACAGTGGAGTCTCCTCAGGAGACTCAAGTTCCTCAGGAAACTGAAGTATCACTGGAAGAATCTGGGGAGACAAAAGATGATGCGTCAGAAAGATCTCAGGAAGAAAATGACTTGGACAGAGGTGAGTCTCTCCCCATCTGTGTGTACTGCGTTTCCAAAATGCTGAGAAACTGGGCCTTTCCCTAGAGGGGACAGAACAGGAGAAAAGGTACTTGTTTCTTACGCTGAAAGAAACTAAGCTTAGGTCTGTGAATTTCATTCCTTACAGCCAGGCTGATGCAAAACGAAATGGACTGTGCACATGGACACAGCCATGGCCTCCAGGAAGCCCAGGAGGACCAGGAGACAAGCAGGCAGTGTGAAAGCTCCGACACAGCAGAGGAAGATGCTTTACCAAGAAGCAAGTCATTGAGCTCTGACAGCAAAATGACACGTTCAGATCTGAACGCCCCAGAAGATGTCACCAAGGACCTCTTGGCACAGCAGAGCTCCAGTGCTGCTCTCCTAGACCAGGAGGCAGGAGAGCACACAGAGCAAATGACACTGGAGAGTGACTACTCAGGCATGTTAAGGAGCAGGCATGGGACTAAAGGTGAGCTGGTGGTTGCACACTGCTGCTGCTCAATCATGCACATGCCTTTGCTTTGCTTAGGTGCTGGAATACAGTGAGATTCCTTGTGCCTGTTGTCAGTTGTTTTGGAGTCAAACAAGAAAGAAGGTATTTGTTCCTTAGCACAAAGTGAACTGGCTCCTCTTTGTCTCCTTCTCCTTCGGCTTCTGTTCCCTTTTCAAAAGCTTGAAACTATGCTGAATCTTTCTCCTTTTCCTGCCTAAAAAGCAAAGAGAGACAAGACTTCCCAAAGCAGCATTAACTTTAACTCTTTCCCACAGCTGGGAGCTCCAGGATGATTTGTTGCATTTCTCATAACTGCCCAACTGAGCTGTTCTCTCAACAGCAAATAGAAAATGTATTTCTCTCACTGTAGGACATGCAGCCCCACAGCCAGAGGCTCAGCGTTGCTTGCAGAACATCACTGCTCAGAGTGCAGAACAGGAGAAACCTACAGAGTCCCTCTTAGTGAAAGGTGAGGAAAAGAAGCTTCCCTTGTGCATTACTCATCGACCAGAAGGCCCCGATCCTCCAGGAACAAGTAATGAAGCACATTTAATTTTTCTTCTCTCTCATGACCCTTCACAGTCTTTTCTGAAGGTTCGAGGGAACCATTGCTCAGCAGACACTACAGACTTGGGGGAAACAGATCACAAAAAAAAGAAAGCAATCTATGCCCTTAAAGAGAAGCTCAGTTTGACCCAATCTGTACCATACGTTTCTCCTGGCAGGAAGAATCCTGGGAACACCAGCAGTATGTGAACCCCACTGTTCTCCTTTCTGGACAGCAGGGTAGCCCTTGTTCACCCAGCATAGGTAGGAGGAAGGCAGCAAACATAATAGCTTAGCTGGGTCAGCCACCTCCATGTGTGGAGGCAGGTGCTCCAAATGGTCACGAACCTTAAAGAAAACAGATGAGGTGGGGTAAGAGAAGAAAGTTCGTGGGCTGCTATAATTTCAGTTGGTGTTTTGCATTGTAACTGGGAGACTGTAGCTTTGCCCTTGTTTCTGGAGCTGTAGCCCCACCAGGTGGTGTGAAGGAGCATGGGTTCAACATAGTATGGAGCAAGTGGTTTCTTCACTATTCCTGGGACCCCCAGGACAACCAGAACCACTTTCCTATCGTAGCAGGGATGGACAAGGAAGATATAAAGAGCGGGTTGCCATGGGTCGCTTGGGACTGACTTCTGTTCCCTGTTTGCATCTCTTCCCTGTTGAGCAGGACTTGTCGTTCTGGGCCTCGTATTTCTTGGCTTCTGCATATTCTGCTTCGGCAACCCAACCGCCAAGTCCCAGCCAGCCCCCAGGAACCCCACGGTGGAGGCCTTCCTGTCCCAGTTCAACCAGCTGCAGGACAGCTTTCCAGGGCAGAGTCCCGACCTGTGGCTTCGCAGTCGCAAATTCCTGCAGAAACACCTCAACACATCGCAGCACACGCAGCCGGCCATCATCATCTTCACAGCCGCCCGCAAAGGCGAGCGGACCTTACGATGCCTCAGCACCCGTGTAGCTGACACCTATTCTGCCGCCCTGCGCGCCAGCACAGTGCAGATCGATGGCAAGGATAAATCCGGGCTCCAGAGCGACCAGGCCAAGCTGGAGGTGGACTCAGAGCTCAGCTCAGCTTTCCAGGCTGGGGACCGTGCTGCGGTGATACACCGCTTCGAGCTGCTGCCAGCGGGTGCCACCCTCATCTTCTACAAGTACTGTGACCACGAGAGCGCTGCTTTTAAGGACGTGGCCCTGCTGCTGACCGTGCTGCTGGAGGAGGAGATGCTTGAGACACACATCAGACTCCAACAGGTGGAAGAGAGGGTTCGTGACTTCCTCTGGGCCAAGTTCACCAGCGCCAGGACTCCCAGCTCCTATGACCACATGGACTCTGACAAACTGAGCGGGCTGTGGAGCCGCATCTCCCACCTGGTCCTACCGATCCACCCAGTGCAGAACATCGAGAAGGGGGGCTGCCACACCAAACCCTAAGGGCACAGGCCACCAGAGCCCCAGGAAGGGTTGGAAAGCCAGCCTCGGGGTAGGTGGAGACACAAACGAATGAAGAACTCACTTTGTTTAACACAGTACACCAGTACTGTTTCCCTACAATTTTTTTTTTTTTCCCTGTACCTTCCTGGAAGAGTCCAACAGGTACAAACTGATCCAGGCCTCCTGGCCAACTGAAGGTAATAATAGACTGTATGCTTCCTTCTGAGAGGTGGGAAAAGCTGATATTTTAATTGCACAGGAGCACATTACAATGTGGGGATGCAGGAGGGAAAAAAACCTGCGTGTTGCAGGAAGTAGAACAAAGCAAGGTAAAACTCACTAAGCCCAACATTTGGAAGTCATGCTTCAAAAAGAAAATAGGTTTGTTACTCAAGAGTTTGACCAGCCAGTCCTGGTACAGCTCCACTGACTGATTTACACCTAAAGACCAGATCCTAAATTCAGAATTTGTGCAAACAAATCTGCAATCCAGAAATTCCTCAAACACCAATGACAAAGAATGTTAAGCTATCAGCACTTAAACACTACACAGAACAGGGAATCCTATGGAGTGGCCGTTCTGAAAGAGAACAAGGAAACACAAAACACTTTGTTGTCACTTTGATGGTGTGAAGCCCTGAGGCAACGGAATTAATAATATGATTTAACTTAATGCTACCTCTTAAAAAGTTCACTCTTGATCCATTTACCACCATGAGGCTACAAGAATCTCTTTGGGCAGATGCATCAGCTTTGGTCCTACATGATTCCTCTTCACCCAGATCTGATGGAAGCCATCAGAAGTGTTTCTACATCATTTGTCTGCACAGAGGGGAGCCCTCAGGGTCAGGACACGAGCAAGCTGACAAAAAACCTCTGTGAGCCATTCCATGGCTTTTCCAGGGCCCCTGGAAAAGCCCCCCTTCATGGAGATTGAGAGTGTTTGGAGCCCAGCAGTTCCCTGCCTTGCTCTCCCTTGTTCTGCCTGCCTCTCCCCAGCTTTTATCGATGAATGTAGATGTTAACACTGATACTTATTTCAAGCCATGTGAGGCAGCACACCAGGTCCTTGCCACCAAAAGTACATTTGCCTTCCTGCCAGGCAGGTGGTACTCTGGCTAATGTCAGAGCAACGAGGAGCAGAGCTGATACTGAGTGTTCAAGGACAAAACCTCTGGCATTAACACCCCAAATCCTTATCTAAGCAGGATGGATTCTTACCGTGCCTCCTCTTCTGCACCCCAGGAAGAGAAATCCAGGTCCTGTACACTCTACGGTGCTCCTACACACTGAGTTGCTGCAGGAGTGCTGGGGCAGAGCTGCTAACTCAGGAAACACCTGGGGGCAGGCACAGGTTGAAGTATCTATTACTGCCCAGCAGCCAGCCCCAGGTGTCAGCCCCTTGTGCCTACAATCATGCCTACTGGAGATGGAGAAGCTGGAGCAAAGCACGTCTTGCTTTTGTATGGACAACAGAGACTGAAGCCTTGCAGAGGCAGAGACTACACCTGAGCAAGACACAAATCAAGGACAGTGTGCTGTTTTTACAAGCAGTCCACCCAAGTGCTTCAGACCCCCGTGCTGGCCTATGGTACCTTGCTGATCTGCTCCACTGGTGGCTCAGCCATTCACCCAGTGCCTGAAATCACCACCTGAATCTTCATCCTCCCACCACGTGCCTTGCCTCTCCTGGGAGATCTGTGGCCATTGACTTGGAGGAAGGGACAAAGAGAAGGAAAAGGAGAGGGATGCAGTTTGAACCAAAGAGCACAGATTTGATTTCTTTACAATGCTGGTCACGTGAAGATGAGATCCAGGAGTGCTGCACCACTTTATCCACTGTCCCAGACTTACTGACGTTTATCCCCTGTGGCCAACAGGGAGCTGAGTTACCCTCGCAGCGTTAGCCAGGGATTAGACATGAAGCATCCTGTTGCAGAGGTTTTAACCATGCCAAACACAACTAGGCACGCTACAGCCCAGCATCAGCAGAGCAGCTCCAGGCATGGTTTTATACAAGATATGGGCAAGATGCTGGTTGCTTCCTCCTCTTCCTCCTTTTTACTGTTGTCCACTATTTTGGTAACAAAAAACACTGTTTCTGCTCTTCGTGGTTAAGTATTGGCGCTGATGTAAGAATTGGTGTAGCATTAATCGTGTTCATATTTTGAGAGAAATCAGTATTTTAAAGTTATCTCGCTACCAGTTTTATATACCGTGTGCATAATGCATGGTCAGGGTATGCAGTGGCAACTTCATGCTGCTTGGGTACCTCGCTGTAAGCATCATCCAGCAAAGCTGTTCTAATACATCTTTATGACCTTTTAAAGAAAAAAAAAACAACAAACCCACAAACCCTGCTTGCTTCTGAAACAAGACCTCTATTTAAAAATAAATGAGATTGTGAAAGAGAGCAGCAAAGTGAGGCTGAGCCTTACTGTTTTCTGTTCTTTAGCTTGTTTCATAAAGCAGAAGAGCTGATCATATTGGACAAAGATTTATTTAGGTCACGTCTGTAATTCTGCAAACAAAGTGGATACTTTTCTCAATTGTTCGGGACAATCATAGGCAGCTTTTTTAGCTAAGCCCAAAACTAAGAACAAACCCATCAAGGAATGCTTCAGCTCAACCCAGCTGCTAAATGCAACTCCAGCTGAAACATGCTGGGGTTTGCAAAACACTCCATTGTAATACTGAAACTAAAACCCACTGGCAACATTTTAGAAACCAAATATTTCTCATTTCAACACTGTACTCATTGGGGGGGAAAAAAATAGGTCTCTTCTACACAATTTCACAACACCTCTGCATATCTGCATTTTAACATTTGTGCTGAATTATCTTGCCCAGCCCTGGCTTAAACAGAGAGCATTTTTTTGGTCTCGCCTCTGAATTCAGAAGCAGCCAAACTCCTGCTGGGCTCGGAGAGCAGCTCTGGCTGGAGGAGAGCACTGGTTTTGTATGCTCCCTCCCCTCCGATGCCGTGCTTGTTGTGGTGTGTTCTCTGCACGCAATGATTTCAATGCACGTTGAGCGAGAGCCACCTGCAAGCCCCCCAAACCTCCGTCCTGCACTCTGGAGTCGCTTTGGCTGCGTCAGTACAGGACACGAGGATCTGGATCTGCGAGGTGGGAGGTACCGGCTCTGTCCTCGCACTGAGCCCCACGCAAAGCAATTCACAGCCGTGGTTTTTGAAGGGAAGCGGAGGAGCGTGGAAAGCGTCCCTGCAGCACTAATTCTGCAGGGAAGGATGTGCTGCAGCAAAGTGCTCGACGACTCTGAAAATTACCTCGAAGCTGCTCAGCTGAGGGGCAAAATTCAGTTCTGGGAGTTCAGGCTGGACTGTACCTACATCTCTTTGCACTCAGTAAAGCTGGAAGGCAGGATGAGAGGAGACAGGCGGGCAGTGACCTCAGCCGTCCCAGCACCGGGAGAGGGCAAAGCACCGAGCAGCCCCATCGCCGTCCTTCCCCCTCGAACGTTAGCTCCATGCTAGCATCTCCCTCTGAGCGGAAGGCTCGGCCGGTCCCTGGCGAGGGCACTCGAGAGCTGACGTTCTTCAGAGCCGCGGCACAGCTTCCAAACGAGAGCTGCGAACGGCACCGCTCGGGCGTATCCAAGCAGCAGTTTCAGGTCACGGCATTCCCGCAGAGGAGCAGACGTGCTTGATGTGCACGGAGCCACGGCGCAGCAAAGGAGCTGAGCCGCTTGGAGCGGCAGAAGGGAGGAGCGGTCGCCTCCCGGCTCCGAGCTCTGCTGCAGAGCGAAGCCTCGGATCGCACGGGTTCCTCCTCAAAGAAAGAAACGCCGATCCTCCTTGCTGGTTAGAAGCTCCGCAGGCTGGCTGGCGGATCCCGAGCTGAAGGAGCGCGATGCTCAGCGCTCCGTGCCAGCAGCCCGGGGCAGCGCGGACCGCAGCCCAGCGGAGGGGCGGGACGGGGCCGTGCCGCGGGGCTCCCCGCCTCCGGAGCGCTGCCCCCCGCCGCCTCCCCTTTGTCCGCCGGCTCCCCCTCCTCCTCCTCCTCCTCCTCCCTCCCCCGGCGGCCGCCGCTCCCGGCACGTTGTAAAGTCATTAACTCCCCCAGCCATGCCGGCCCGCGCCCCGCCGCCGGCTGCTCCTGCCCCGGCCGCTGGTGGGCCGCCGCGCCGCCTCCTCCGAGCGGCGGCAGCAGCAGCAGCAGCGCGGCATGGCCGCTCCCCGCCGCCTCCTCCTCCTCCTCCTCCTGAGCGCCGCCGCCCCCCTCGGCGCTAAGGTAAGCGCGGCCTCGGGGCTCACGCCGCCCGGAACGGCGCCTCCCCGCCGACAAAGGGCCGCGGCGACCCGCGGAGGCCGCCCGCCCGTTCCAGCCCTGCCCGCCTGTTCCAGCCCTGCCCGCCCGTTCCAGCCCTGCCCGCCCGTTCCAGCCCTGCCCCCACGGCCTGTCGCGGTGGGACCCGAACCCCCCCGGCTCGCAGGAGGGCTGCGAGCGATGCGCTGCTCCCCGCACAAAGCCGTGGCTGAGGTGGGATCGCGCCATCTCTTACCTGCTTTGCTGCCGATAGGACTGGGGGAGGGGGGCACGACGGCTTTTTGCTGCGAGGGGATCTGTAAAAGATGGGATGTTAGGGCGGAATTCTTCACTCTGAGTGGTGTGAGGAGCTGGCACTGCTGCCCAGAGCTGTGGGTGCCCCATCCCTGGAGGTGCCCCAGGCCATGGAGCTGAGCCTGAGCTGAGTGCAGCCAGCCCACGGCAGGGCTGGTGGATGATCTTTGAGGTCCCTCCCAACCTGAGCCTCACCTACACCTCAGCTTTGAGCAGCGGCATCACCTGAGCTGGGGTTGCCTTTGGGTTCAAGCCCCAGTTGTGCCGCTCCCGCTGCATCTGCAGCCTCGCACACGTTCTGCCTGCTTTGCTTTTCCCCCATGAGCAGGGCTTCCCAGGGTCAGCCTGCCAGATGTGCACTCCTTCACCCCGCGCACAGCAGGCTGTGGAGGCAGCGGTCATGAAGGGATTAACCTGCTGGTTGCGTTTGCTGCAGCATGCATGCAGGGAATGCCACAGGGAGCCTCAGTCCCTAGATAAGCAAATTCCTCCCTGCACCAAGCTCTCTGGACGCAGTGCCTCTGAAAAAAACAGATGGTAGGGATTCCTCGTGCACACCCCGTATTCCTTTCCTCTTTCCCTTCGCAGCAGGATGATCAACTGTGCACCAGAGTTCTCTTTTCTGAGGGCACAATTGAAAACACAGTTGTTGTTTTTTTTCAGCCACAGCTTTGATCAGAGCACAGCACAGAGCACCCAGACCTGGGGGCTGAACGTGGCTGTTCATTTCCAGGAGCACGAGATAACATCTGCAGGCAGTTTGAGGCATTAGGACATCTGAAGCTGTTCAGTATCTCAAGCAAGTAGCACAGTTTGCCATAGAGAGAAGCCCTTAGGTAAAGGATTGTGGATTTCTGTGGAGGACATGGAGTTAATGACCTCAGAAAAGGGCTGTTGAGAATTTAGTTCTTTTTCAGCTGCTGTTTTTGTCCTCTGAGGGCTCCCTGTGCCCTGCAGTGCTGCACAGGGCCCTAAGGCACGTCACACTGCAACAGAGCATACCCCTGCAAGCTTCTCCACTAAGGGCAACTAACAGGGATTTGTTTTCTCTTCCTAGAAAGATTTCAAACCCCTGAGACACTGGGCTTAATGAGTCCCAGGACCCAGTGCGCAGTGTGGGACACTGAGCCAATGACACACTAATTGCCATTATTCCCAGGTTTCTGGGAAACCCATTGTAGCTTAGAGTTGATCTGACACGCAGCAGAGAATCATTAGAGGGTTTATTTGATCCCTTTCTGTTCTTCAGAAAGACCGCCTGGAAAACTGATAGGATGTCAGCCTGGATCCTCCCTCCTTCGTGGGGTTGAAGCAGTTTGTGGCAGCCTTTGTCTGGCTCTGGTGGGGGGTAGAAGGGAAACAGCTGCTGAGCCTTTGGGTAGGCAGGAAAAGCTTTCAGTGATGCTGGCTTAGAGACAGCAATATTGGAAAATCCTGGAAAAGTTCCCCAGCATCACTGGAGGCTCTGCTCAGCCCCGAGCAAGAGGACAGGAGGGCAGCCCTCACCGGAGCGTGTGCACAGCCTCCCTGTAGGTGTTGAGGCACAGGAATACCGTGGTTAGCCTCAGAGAGGAAGAGCTGCAGCTGTACAGCCTGCGTGCCAAGCCACAAGTGCCTCCAGGGGAATTCTTGAGGAGAGCACCTGGCTGCGCTGCACGGTGGCCTGTCTTTTCTGCTGATGTGATTTCTAGCCTTTAACATTTCTCATCAGCTGAGGAACTGCACCTGATCCTCCTCCCATATCCAAGCCCGGGCAGAGCCAGCTTTACAGATCCTGCACCTGCACCCACCTCCTGCCCCACAGTTTTAGTCTGCTCCATGCACGGTTCTGCAGCACGGCACAAGTTAGAGCAGTTCAGCATCTCCCACAACCAGGAGAGTGCAGAGGTGTTGTTTTAAAGCTCCTTGGCTTCTCTTTCTCCAAGGAATGGGGGGTGGAAATCTGCTTGGCCAGAAGTAACCCTTAGGGTCTGCCGAGGGGCTTGGGAAACTGAAGCTGGGAGCTTATCTAATCTGGAGTCTATCTCACAGGCCTTCATTTATTATCTGGAAATTTGGAAAATTACAAACAAGAGCCATTTGTGTGTCATGGTTAGCACAGATTTATTTCTGACAACACAGCAAACTCAGCCCAGATTGGAACCAGCTGCACCTACCTGAGTTTCACCTCCACATCTCAGGGCTGAGGACTCGGCTGCTGTCACACCGTGAGCCTCACTAGCAAAGGCTGCAGCTCAGCACTGTCCTTGCTTACACAGATAAATAAGTGCTGCTGGGCAAGGGCTGGCAAGAGTGCTTGGTCATGGAAAACCTGAGAGCCAAATCAATCTATTTAATGTGTGATTGATTGAGGAAGCAGGGGCTTACAGAGGTAGAGGAACACGTTTCATTTGAAAACTGCTGTCACTGCTGCAGCAGAGCCCTCAGGGATGGAGTGGGGCAAAGCCTGGGGAAAGGCTGGGTAAATATTGCTACTTCTGGCCCACACGCCTCCCCCTGGGCAGTCTGTGCAGCCCTTGGTGCTCTGTGGCCACCCAGTCACGTGGAAAGGGGCCAGCTGTGATTGATGCTCCAGCTCTTGAGAGACTTGCTTTGCACTGAGCTCTTTGCACAGACAGATAAATCATTGTCCTCTCCTTCCCAGCAGCTGTGAAGGGCGCTTCCTCCACAGGCCTGGAGATGCTTATCACAGGGGTCAGGGGGAGATCTGAACTGAAAAGACAGCCTTTCGTGTCTGTCTTTGTAACCACGGAAGCTGCACAGCCAGCATTTCCACCTGCAGTCTGATCGTGTGCAGTCGGACAGAAACCATCGTAGGACGCAGGTTGAAATGAGCATCTGGCAGCAGAAGGAAAGGTCTTGCTGAAAACCTGCTTGTTTCTTTTACGCTTCGTTTTTACACAGCATTTGCTCTCTGTCAGAGAAGCACATGCAGCCAGCACACCTATGTTGCAAGGAATTTGGTTGCAATGTTTTCACCACCAGCTGTACTGTTGTACAGCATCAGGTGGTGTGGTGCTTTTTTTGCAGCAGAGCAGGTTACTTTCAACACACTCCGTGGGCAGTATGGTCACTATGTGCACCTCGACCATGCTGAGTTCTAACCCAAAATCAGCTCCTCTGCATCTCCTCTGCCCAGAGGATGCTATTGGCAGGTGCTATAGAAACAAATGCTCAGGCAGGAATTACAGTGCAAGATGAAGAACACTTTGGCTTTATTACACCATAAAAGAGCATCGAGCCAAGAGGCAGCCAACCAAAATAGTGAACTGAGCTCAGCAGACTGCTGAGCTTTCTTTCACATCCATCAATTACGTTTTGCAGACCAGTTCTTCCCACCAGGACTATCAGCACTGCCACGATCAGCAGGTTTTGCTATGAGTAGCACAGGTACAGCCTCTCCATGCCCTCAGTGTAACATAAGAGATGCCACACAGACAGTACACACAAATTATTTGTTCTCTTCTGCTACTACTGATACACTGTCAGCATTTTCAGCTGGCTAAATCACTTCTAGTCACTGCCCCATGGTAAGCTCATTGCTGCATTTAACTCTCTGCTCACAGCTGTGTTGCAGTAAGCAGCAATTTCGCTCCTGCACACAATTTGCAAAAGTCCTTGGAGCTTTTAGGGCATCACAGAGCAGGAAAAACATTGCAAGAGATGATCTTGCTGAAACGTATGCTCACTTACCTGCTGGGAATCTCAGAGGTGCAGTCGACAGCAGCCTGCTGTCATGAACAGGTAGGGCTGGGAGAGCTCAGGTTTGCCAAATTTAAAGGATTGGCCCCAGCAAAGCATGCTGGGTGAGGGAGAAAGTCCTCTGCTGAGCACGGAGAGGCCAGCAAAGCTGTGCTGAGACAGCCTGCGAGAGGCTCCGGTTCTGAAGCACTCTTGAAAATGACTTTTGTGACAGACGCAGGGTGAGGAACTTGGACCTGAGCCGACTTATGCACAAAGAGGAGTTTATTCCTTGTGATACAGCTCTGCCAAAGGACAGATGCGTCTCCCCCCACCCCCCTTCCCTGCAGCCAGACGCCGCAGCCTTCCTGCTGCTCCATGCTGGTTGGCAGCTGGGGCTGTGTGCTGCTGGTGTGGCTGAGCTGGGCTGGTAGTGAACTCGCAGCTTGGGCTGCAGCCACACTGAGTGCCACGCATGTCATGCCCATGCCACGAGATCCCAGAGGCATCCATCCATCCATCCATCCATCCATCCATCCATCCATCCATCCATCCATCCATCCATCCATCCACCCACCATCGTCTGGAGTTAGGCCACCAGGTTCCCCAGCTAACCGTTCTCTGTTTCTGTCAGGACAGTAGTGAGGCAGCAGATGGAGCTGGCCCCTGGGATGAAGAAGTTACCAAGTGGTGGGGAGAGTGGAGCTCGTGGTCCACCTGCTCGCGATCCTGCGGGGGAGGCGTGATGTCCCGGGAGCGGCACTGCCTGCGGCAGCGGTGGGTCCCAGCATGCGTCCTCCACGGTGCCCCAACCTCCATTTATCCCCTGCAGCTACCACAGTCCTGGAATTGGTCAAACAGGGTTCGCGGGGACCCAGCTGTTCCCTCTCGATCACCTCACCAGCCAGCCCTCATCAGGCACCTCGCCAGCCTGAGCTGCTAACAAGAGCCAGCATCGTACTGCACAGCACGGCATAGGGGCTGCTCAGCCTCTTTCCCTTCTGCGTGACTGCACTCCTGAGGGCAGGAAGCTCAGACAAGGGCCCCCCACCTGCTCTGCCTCCTCCAGAAGAAAATTTCTTTTATGTGGGCTGGTTGGCAGCATACCATCAGATGTGGTGACACGTTGTCCGTCTGGACACCGCCTCCCCACTAACGAGGCTTGCCAATGTCTCTGCCTCTGCTTGACATCAAACCCAGCCAAAAGGCTCCTGCAGCTTCCAGCAGGGCAGCTTAAGTGTGAGCCAGCCATGCCCTGTGAAACAGTTTTTGCTGGAGTCTGCAGGCTGCCCCTGCTTCAGCTGAAAGAGATGGCAATTTGGAAGCCTTATGATGTGAATTTAGGCTCTACCAACATTGTGTAAATTGTTGCTCTGCAGGAATAGCTGCAGTGCATCTGAGCAGTCCAGCTTGAATGTGGTTCTTCATTACACAGTGAAGTTCCCATCTGTAACCTCGACCATTCTCCCTGCATCTTCCCAGCTTTCAGGAATTTTTTTTAGCTTTTGCATTAGTCGAGAACTTCAGTATCTCTTGGACGAGTGCTGCTGGCCAGAGGTAAAGCATCACTTGCTGAGAAATCCCCATGGTTTTTGTTCATCACCAAACCTCTCTTGAAAGGCGTTCAGTACTCACGAGAGGTGCCATCTCTCTGCATGCTGCTCAGTGAATTCTGAAATCAGTTCCCCAGCTCACTTCCAAATTGTAGGTGCTTCCATGGAAATGGTGGATCATCAGGCCCCATTGCCCTTTTGTCACACCAACCCTTTTGCAGCTCAGAGATGTCTGGGCAGACCCAGCCATGGAAATACTTCAGTTGTTTCCCATCCACTCGTACTGCTCCGTAATGAGAGTAGCCTAAAATCACACTCCAAAGCTAACAGCACTGAAAATGCCTTTCAGAGACTTACATTACATTGACCTTACATTGACTTTTAAGGTCAATGTAAGTCCTTTTAAGGACATTACACATTACCTTACATTGACTAGTGTAAATCCTGAAAACCTTACTCTGATAAAATCCCACCCTGACTTCTCTATTATCCGTGATTTCTTAGTGCTTTGCAGACCTCTAGCTTATTTCTGCTTTCACGCATTCTGTTTTGCAGGCTCCAGATGCCCCAGGGAACAAACAGCACCATGTGTGTTGGCCAAGCCAAGCACTACCAACTGTGCCAGCAGCAGGTGAGAACTGCTTCCAGCACTCACTGGTCCTTTCTGGGGGATGTGAGGTTGGACCAGCAAATGCAGGAGCACCAGCAGTGAGGGTCTGGCAGAGGAGTGCAGATAAGAGGCACGGTGCACTCCTGGGGGAGTTGCCAGCTTGCCTTTGAAAACATGGGAGTTGGGCTCTCCTCTCTGGGTCTGAAAGGTGGGGGAGAAGGATATAAAACACATTTGTTGTGGGGTGGGGGGAAGGAAGAAGTTTTCCTGGTATGTTTTTCCCTTTGCTGGAAGTAGATTTTGCAGTTCTGTTAAATACAGCTGGCTGAGGCGATGGAAGCCTGGCCTTTCTGCCTGTATTACTGCACATCAGAGTCCATCACTGATTCTTTCCAGGGTGGACAGGGCATTTTCATCCCCCAAGGATGCAGCAGGGCCAAGCAGCTGTCACAACCATGGCTGCGACATAGGGAGCTTTTGATCACATTTATTCCCTCCGTAGCCCTGCCCAGCCAACACAGCAAGCTTCAAACAACAGCAGTGCTCCAGTTTCAATGCCAAAGCCTTTGGGAAGCGGTACTACCACTGGATGCCCCTCTATCCAGGTGGGTTTTCACAGCTTCAGGGTGAGAAAACACCTGCAGGATTTTCTCAGACACAGGAGGAGAACCCAGGGGCAAGGGATGGCTGGTGCAGAAGTGCTTCCCTATGCTCCCTGCTTTGGAGAAATCATCCCCTCTCTTCACAGAACCACCCCAGCCAGCCAGGCCTCTTCTCACACTGGCTTGGATCCTATGTGAGAACGTGCTGGTGAGCAGACACGGGACACAGCCAGGTGTCTTGACTCACCTACAGTCACCTTGGCAGATGGGGTGTTCGGTCTGTGTGTGCCTCCTAACATTTCAGCCACCTCTGTCATCCAGCATGCTTCCCACTGGGATGGCGGTGGGTTATTCTGAAAAGGATGGCCATCCATTTCCTGCATAGAAGAGATAAATTGCTTCACACGGGTTGCCAGATGGCCCTTGAGGCCCAGATTCAGCTCCCCTGAGATATGACTGCCTTTCTGGACCTGCCTGTTTTTCCATTAGCTGCTAAGGGAACACAGAACATCTGCACCTCTAACTCCCATTGCTCAGCTGGAAGGGGTGCAGCTGGCCACAGCCCCACTGTCAGTACCTCTCTTGCGGGTCATACTTGCTCCTGTGTACTTATGTGTGGCCTGGGATCTGCTGATGTGGATTCCCATATCTGGCACAGGGGATGGCACTGCAAAGGGGAGAGGTTTTGCCATCAAGAAGCACTTCTATGTATGGCCCCATGTGCAGCCTCATACCATGATCCCTTTACTACCACAAGGTCTGTAGCCTTGCAGTTCATCTTGAGAAGCAAGAACATCTAAGATGACATCAAACCAGCAGCGTGCATAAAGGGAAAGTCCCCTCCCTCACTGCCCATCCCCTTGGTCTGCCTCTGTCCCTTTAGATGACTACACCAGCATCTCCAACAAGCCGTGTGACCTCCAGTGCACCACGCGGAATGGAGAGAGGCAACTGATGGCCCGAGCCCAGGATGGTACCTCCTGCAAGGACAGGACCTACCAAGGGGTCTGCATCAATGGGAAGTGCGAGGTGAGGCTCTGGAAGGAAATAGTACAGAAACCAGGGGTATAAATGCCTTGTTGAGCTGCCTAGTCACTGTGAAGCCAAGGGTCCCAGCAGAGAGGTGAAACCAAGGCCTGGCAAGAATGATTACATTCACTTTTGAATGCCTGTGGGCTAGAGCAGAGCAGAGAGACTCGCACAAAAGGAGTTAGATACATCCGCATTCACAGTGGGTAACAGAACTTTTCTCCCAGCACAGAGAAGGCTAGGATTGAAGGTCTGTGTTCATAGCCAAACTGAAAAAGATTGGATTTTTTTTCCCTTGTAGAACAAGGGTAAAGGATGTGTGTGTGGAGTTGTTAGAGAGAGGTGTCTTAAAACCTCAAGCAGCCTGCCTGCCTTTGATGCAGCATCTCCTGGAAGATGATGCTGTACATCACTACTACAGTGAGAAGGATTGGCCAAAAGATGGGAGACTGAATAAATGGAAGCAGACTTGCTGAATCTTATTTCCTGCACCTACACGTGCAACCCTGCCCCAGGTTCAGGGCCACAGTGCACATGCTCACAAACTACCCCACATCCACACCCAGAAGCTCACCTAAAGAATAAGGTAACATTGCCTTGAAAAGACACTGTCCCCTAAGAGACACTCTTTATTTTTACTCTTCCTTGCAGCCAGTGGGGTGTGATGGGAGCCTGTATTCAGCCCGGACGATGGACAGATGCAGGGTGTGTGGAGGGGACGGCAGCACTTGTCACCGTGTCTCAGGCAGCTTCCGAAAGGCAATCTCACAGATAGGTACTCCCTGCTACCACAGTCCAGAGACTTCACCTGCTACTTCTTACCACCAACTGGCACGAAGGGTGACTGGCTTGAATGAGGGTAGGAGTTTCCCAGCTGCTTGGTGGAAAAAGCTGAAGAGTGCCACCTCTGCTTAAATACCGACATTTTATCCTTTTGGATCAATCAATCAGAGGAGATTGGGGATGATATGTTGTAAATTAGGCCAGCAAGGTTTTCTTTCACATCTTCACTGTAGGAGGCAGCTGGGGATCTCTTTGTTCCTATTGATTTTGGCATCTCGCGCACCTCAGATGATGTGAAAAGGTCAATGAATCTTCTTTTATTTGTGCTAGGTGTTCACTGGAAGATTAGGCTCCTCTGATGAGGGTCACAGCATTTGTTTCAGCCTGCACTTCGTCTCCAGCTTTCCCCAGTCCTGTGGCTGATGCAGCTGAGGGACAGTCCCTCTGAAACTGGGCTGAGATTAATGGTTCATCTCTTGCAACCTCATGGCCCATTCCTCCACCAAGAAGGAACAGACTGTGGTATACTCATTAGTAATTAATTAACTGTGGTTTGAGGATGTTTTGGAACATCGTTTTACACTGCTATTGTTCCACTAGTCTACCTCATTCTCCACAGACGCCGGACCAGAGAAGTATTCTGGCTCCTTTCCAGGGTGTGGTAATAGTGCTAACCTCTCTAGAAGCACACAGACAATCTTGGCCTTCCATTCCAGGCCTCATAAAATCTTACAGGATGGAAAAAAACAATCAACAGACTTTCTAACAGGAAAGGCAAGCTGGCAAAGCCCCACAACGTTAAGAGCCTTTTACTTCCTACCCATTTAAAGGTCAATCTTTATGCTCCTCTTGAGACAAATTCTGTTGAGTCGGGAGCTGTGGGGACCTACAGTCTTCTCCCTGCACCCTTCAGCACCAGTGCTGATCAATAGTAAGCTTTTTATGTGCTCTTGTGAGGAAAAGCCTGACAGCACATTCATTCATGCACCTACAGCCACGCTGTTAAGCTCACGCAATTCCTTTCTGACTTCAAACCCAGCAGTGGTCAAACTTAGAGACCTGCAACGGTCATTGGCAGAGGGGTTTCAGAAGGGAGCTGGGATTAGAGCTCACAGCTTGGCACAGCATGTTTAGGTCCTTAACATCCTGCTAGGGGTAGCGCTGCCCTCCTACATGCACACCTATCCCACGAGATGCTTTGCCTGTGAGCACTTTTCTGTTCCATCCTCGGATTTTCTTCACCTCCTGTTCCTGCTCCTCAGGTTACGTGTTCATCACCAGCATCCCTGCCGGTGCCATGGACATCCTCATCATGGAGCGCAGGAAGACAGAAAACATCCTGGGTAAGCAGGGGGTCTGGCTGGGTGTGGAGGTCCCTGAGTCGTCCCTGTGAGCATTTCCTCCTGGGTAGCATAGGGTTTGCTTTCCTTAGTGCCAGCACAGCCTCAGCACTCTGCACGGAGCATCACATCTGTCTCTTTTTTCCTTTGAAGCGCTCGCTGATGAATATGGGCATTTCTTCTTCAACGGCAACTCTGCCATTGACAACCCCCAGAACTTCAGGGTAGCTGGCACGATCTTCAAGTACAGGCGGCCTTCGAGTCTGAATTCAGATGGGCTGGAGTATATCATAGCTCACGGGCCCACTAACCAGTCTCTGAATGCCATGGTATGTCAAGAGGTACTTTTAGCCCTTCCTGTCTTGCCTGTCCCAAACTGTGAGCCTCCCTCAGACAAACTGCTTCCTAATTTTGTTCTCATGCCAACCCCGTGGCTGAGGAAGCCAGATATTGCTTTGTGGGGTTTCCTCTTGGGTTTAAGAGGATGCTATCTTCTCTTAACATCTGCCACAAAGCGACTAGAAGAAACACATGCCCTTAGAATGAAAGAGGTTCTGTTTTCCTTCCCTGTTTCCTCCAGTACTATAACTTTAATGGGAAAATGCCCCATATTACTTATGACTACACTGTACCACGGACACCACCACCTCTCCGAACCGCAGCCCCTGCTGTAGACAGACCTCGTTATCATCACCCAATAGAGACCAGCCAGAGCCATCCTGTTCCAGCCAACTTCAGAGCTGCCAAGGACCCCAATGCCACACGGCTTTCCCTGTCACCAGATGACACCAACAAACAGCTTCCTCTAAAAGATAGGCACGAAGATTTAGGCTTCAGCCATCCACACTTCTTCCACACCAACTCCACTAATCGGGACTGGGGCTGGGAACAAGGTGAAGAAAAGGAGAAGTATGACTTCCACATAAGACAGGTCTACCACGCAAACGCAGCAGGAGAGGAAGAAGGAGAGGAAGGAGCAGCAATTGGTGGAGAAACAGAATTGGGTTGGTTGCTTTGTTTTTCCTTTTCTCCCAAGCCTTAGTTCATTGAAAAGGGGCATTGGGACATTCCACGTTGGTTTGCTTGAAATGTAGGGTGGCTTTTCCATCGGGTAGACAGGGAAAAAGGATGGTTCATAGCAGGGGTGGAGACCGTCAGAGTGCAGCTGGTTGCTCCTTGTGAGAAGGGGAGCAAATCTGAGTCTGTCTGGGAAAGCCAAACAGTTAAGGGGCAGGACTAGGAGTGAAGTGCACTTACAGCATAGGTCTGAGCTTTAATGCAGCTCCTGGGCCACGGGCAGGTGTGGGGATCTCACGTGAGGCTGCTCAGGATAATTAAAGCCTGTTGATGCACCCTGATGGCAACTTAGGGTTTTGAGGCCAAATATTCAGTGTTTTTTTGCCTTACCAGACACCACTAAACCACACGCTGAAGCATAAGCTGTGCAAGATAGTTATCGCATCCCAATATTCTTCCTGCAGCCCTCAAATTCAACCAGATTTCCATCAGCACAGCTGTACCCTACAGCATGAGGAGGTCTGAGCTGTCGGAGAACAGCCGCGTCGCATCCTCCAGGCTTCGGCTCTTCAGGAGGTTGTGCCACCAGGACCAGCACCACGCTGCCTTCTGCAGGGAGCTGCAGTACCTGGCTGCCAGGCTGGCCCAGAGGAACACCACAGCAGGACTATGGGCTGAAACAGCTGCCCGGTGGCCACAGGGCCTCCACAAAGCTCCATCCCGTAAGAACTCGCTGCAGGACTTGAAGGTGGAGATGTTTGCTGGGAGACAGGGGAAAGCGAGCAACTACAGTGTGATGGAGAGCTCTCTGCTGGGTGCCAGCACGGCGGTGGACGTCAGCCAGGCAGAGCCTCTGCGGGCCCCCGGCACTGAAAGGTGGCACTTGGTTTCCTGGGCAAAACAGGAGCATGGTTGGCTGGGGAGGGAGGGTTGAACCAATCTAGTTGTCTCACCGCTGTCCTTGATGTCCCCATTTGCCAGCGACTCTCCATGGTATCTGTTATAGATGCTTGAGCAACGATGTGTCTTCCAGATGTTTGGCTCAGCTCGTGGTCCAACACAGAGCTTCTGGAACATGCGTTGTGTTCCTTTGCCTCAGAGAGATCCATTTAAATGTGTTCTGAAGGACCTGTGGGGCTATGGCTGTTCACAGTCTTACTAGCTGAATACAGAAGGTGGATGCTCCATCCCTGGAGCCATTCAAGGCCAGGCTGGATGTGGCTCTGGGCAGCCTGGTCTGGTGGTTGGTGACCCTGCACACAGCAGGGGGTTGGAACTGGATGAGCATTGTGCTCCTTTTCAACCCGGGCCATTCTATGATTCTGTGAAGGCTTCACGCTCTGCTTATCAGTGTGCATCTTGCCCATGATGGGGGAGGTAGGGATGGAGCACAGAAACAGTGAGTTTCTTCCCATTTTCCAAGAAGGAAAGGAGGAAATGCAGTATATTTTACATTCACAGCAATTTTACGTCTTTATTTCCTGCCCCCTCCTCTCTCTGCAGCAATGAGTTTGATGTGAGCCCCGTGGGCCACGATGACATCAGCTTGGCTGACATGTATCGGTGGAAGGTCTCAGCTTATGCCCCCTGCAGCTCCACCTGCACTTCAGGTAGGTAAAGACCCAGTGCTTATTTTCAAGACTGCTTTTGTCCTAGTGACTTCTGTAGTTGGAATCCACCTGGCAGCCTCCACTTTCTTTGCTATTTGGTTCCCTCTTTTTTGATATCTAAAGAGGACAGATGTGCTCTTTTCCCATGAAAACACATTTTCAAATTCCATTGGTCTTAGAGTGGCATCTTGAAGCTACTGACTTTTGTAACAGTGGTGCAATCATACATTTCTGTAGCTTGTAGAGTGAGTTTTAGCATCAGTTTATATGAGAGTTTAGGAGAGGTTTATATGCCAACACTCAGAGTCCAGGAAGAGAAGCAGAGCTATTCAGAGCATCTGGCTGACTTTTGTCTGGAGGCTTTTTTCAGTTCAAGCCTTTTCGAGGGCAACTGATCTTGGCAGGACCTTTTAGGCCACTGGTATTTTTAAATTACAGGTAGATTTTCAGAGGCAGTGAATGCTCTTCGGTGATTTTCTATTAGCTGGGGGAGGCTTTTGGTTCTGGTGGAGCCTGACCTAGACAAGATCTTGGTTGTCCAGCAGGTATCAGTGCCTCCTATGCAATGTGTGTACGGTACGACGGAGTGGAAGTGGACGAAGCGTACTGCGATGCCCTGACCCGACCAGAACCTACACATGAATTTTGTACAGGGAGAGACTGCCAGCCTAGGTGAGTGGAAATGACATCTGCTCCCCCTGGGGAATACACATCTTTGTAAGGATCATTTCCTGCTCACAGTATGCAGCCATTTCTGGTCTGGAAGACGTACTTAAACAGCTAAACCTGTGCATCCTCATGCAAGTGAAAAGAGGGAAGAAATTTCCTGTGTTTAAATTACCCACTAAGCACAAAGTTGTTTTTCAAGACCACAGACCTACACCTGATGAGCAGATTCACAGCAGCAGTTAGTGGGTCAGGGAGTCCCAGGCACACGAACACTCCCCAGCCACCCTCCATCCCCGGATCACTTACCTGTGCTTTGCTTTGTGTTTTCTCTCTTTCTCTCCTGGGGGCTGCTTGTGGAGGTGGGAAACGAGCCGTTGGAGTGAGTGCTCCAGGACCTGTGGTGAGGGCTACCAGTACCGCACCGTGCGCTGCTGGAAGATGCTGGCTCCAGGCTTCGACAGCTCTGTTTACAATGACCTCTGCGAGTCAGCTGGGCTGGCCAGGCCCATAGAGAGAAAAGCCTGCAAGAACAAGGCCTGCGGACCCCAGTGGGAGCTCTCAGAGTGGTCTGAGGTAGGCACTGGGGGAGCTTTGCATCCAAGGATGAGCTGGGGCCTGAAGGAAAATGACAGATGTTGGGTGCTTCCCTCTGGTGAGCGCAGAGGAAGCCCTGCCCGGCTGCACGCTCACCTTTACTCACTTTTCTCCTTCCCTGCTGGGACCCTTCCCCTCTCCACCAGTGCAGCAGGAGGAAAACACCTTTGCTTGTTCCTCTTGTGCTCTGCTTTGGAATCCAACTCGGTGTCATTGCAGTGCTCAGCCCGATGTGGCAGCCAGGGAACGATGAAGAGGGAGGTGCGCTGCTCGGTGGAAGCAGCCCTCTGCAATGAGTCCCAGAAGCCCAGCAGTGAGAAGGAGTGCACAGGGCCGCCCTGCGACCGCCGCTGGACCGCTTCGGACTGGGGCCCGGTGAGTGCAGAAGGGCTGCTCCTCCACATCCCTACTTCTGAGGGCACAGGGCTGGCAAGAGGGAGCAGATGAGCAGTCATGCTGCTGCTCACTGTTGGCTTTCCTCTGGCAGAGGCTAGAGAAATAGTGATAATGTACATTTTTGAGCCAACGGTGTGCCCAGGTGGCCAAGAAGGCCAGCAGCATCCTGGCTTGCATCAGCCAGCAGTAGCAGGGAGGGGATCATCCCCCTGTACTCAGCACTTGAGTTCTGTGTTCAATTTTGGGCCTTTCACAAGAAAGACGTTGAGTTGCTGGAGCATGTCCAGAGAAGGGCAGGGAGCTGTGTGGGGTCTGGAGCACAGTATGATGGGGAGCAGCTGAGGGAATGGGATGGGGCAGTATGGAGAAGAGGAGCTCAGGGGAGACCTCACTGCTCTCTGTAACTGCCTGAAAGGAGGCTGTGCTGAGGGGGGGTTGGCCTCTGCTCCCAGGTAACAGTGACAGGATGGGATGGAATGGCCTCAGCACCAAGGGAGGGTCAGGTTGGGTATTAGGAAACATTTCTCCTCAGTAACAGTGGGGAGGCACTGGCACAGACTGTGCCAGTGGGAGTGGTGGAGCCCAAGGGTCTTTGGAGGAGCATTTGGTCAGAGAGCTCCATTCTCCAGGTGCCAAGAGCTCCTCAAATTATTGAATGGAGCTCATTCAGACCTAACTGGAACTTAGAATCATAGAATCATTAAGGTTGGAAAATGATCTCTATGATCATCTAATCCAAGCATCAACCCATCATCCACGCCCACCAAACCACGTCCCTCACTGCCACATTTCCACATTTCTCCAACACCTCTAAGGACCCTTGGGATCAAGTACCACAGCCCCAGATCCAGGTCTCCAGGCTCACGCTGCTGACCGTAGCCCCTCCACCCCCCTGGTGTGTCTAAATGCCCTTTATTCCTCCAAGTGCTCAGGTTCATGTGGAGAAGGACGCATAAGCCGTTTCGTCGCCTGTCGCAACCTGGAGGGCAAGGTGATCTCTGACACACAGTGTGACCCAGCTGCCAAGCCCCTGGCCGTCCATCCGTGCGGAGACAAGGACTGCCCTGCACACTGGGTGGAGCAGGAGTGGGACCAGGTAAAGCCAAGCCCAGCCCTCTATCCTCAGCCCTCCTTCCCACTGCATCCCACAGGAGACGATGGGCACTTTTGGCTCCGTTGGTGGAGCAAAGTTGTACAGTGTCACCACCAGCTGCATCGTTGCTCCTTCCAAAACGAGGGCAGAGGAAAATACCCCAGCTTGTCCCCTCCATACCCCAGTCTGTGGCACTTGTGGCCCTCCAATAGAGGTCGCAGGGAAGGCAGTAGTGTCCCGTAGAAGTCCTCCTCCTCTCCCACTTCTGGCTCCCAGCTGGCAGTTGCAGGGACCTCAGCAGAGCCCCATCCAGAATCTGCAACTACACCCCCAAGATTTGGGTCTCGCTGCCAAAGAGAAAGCCCTACAAAAAACAACTGCATCTCCAGTTAATAAGAGCCAGAGGTAAGGCCTCAGCCTAGGTTCCTGCCCTGGGAGTCACCTCCAGCCCAAGAGCATTTACTTGCCCCAGGTGCAATAAACATAGCCCAGGGGCCCTGTTCTATTAAGCCAGCAATTGCTGCCTGCCAGCTTGCCTTCTGTTGCTAGAGAGGCTATTATGAGCTTCCATTACAAGCCAGTCCAAATCCCAGAGCACCCAGAGAGAACATCGTGACAGACCTGTGGGGTTTGGGCTTTGCCTTGTAAAGTCCTGAGAAAAACAGGCATTCATGGAGCATGAAGGAGGGCTTCTAAGGAATCCTTTTTCTAGCCTTCCTAGCTGCTGACAGCATTCAGTTGAGAGTCCCTCCAGCACAAATAACGAGCAGAAATCATTTACAACTGGGGACCCATGGCACTCCTGTAGCTCTTTCCTGCTCTGTCCTGTGGTGTAGGTCACACCCAATGCTGCAGTGCAGTTTTTGAGCTGTGCCTGAGTGATTAAACTCACCTGAACTCTGAAAGGCCAGCTGGGCTCCCCACTTTTGCCTGTGCCAGCTTCTTTGCTGTGCTCTCTCAGCTGTTCAGCTGCGGGTGAGCTGTTTGCAGGATGACTCAGGAGGGATGTGAGCCAGCTGTGCTGGCCCTGGCACTGTGAAGATGGGCACTGAGCAGTGAAGTCTCACGCTTCTAAGTGCTGCCCAGGACACCAGGGAACACAACTAGAATGAGATTCTGCCTCCCACTGCCTGCTTCTCTCGGTGTTGTCCTGAGAGGTCGATCCCTCCCATCTGTATCTGCATAGCTTTGGGCTGAGCTTGGGTATTTGTCCATGCAATCTCCTGCAGTGCACCAGCTTGGTCCCCTCGAGCCCTCACAGAGCTTGTCAGTACTCCAAGATGTAGATTACTGCACAAACACGCTACGTGGTCTTTTAGGGCATAGAGATATATAAAATAAGACAGAAACATCCTCTTACAGTCTTACCTTGGCTGCTCCAGGTCCCTTGTGGGAACTGCTCTCAGGCCAGCGAGGCTCAATTCAGCATCCTCCATCCTAGCTGAACACATAACCATCTCCTGTCCCCATTCCAGTGGAATCCAGCTCCCTTTCAGGCACCCCCGTGACCCGGGCAGCACTACCTCCATCAGCCTAGTGTTAGCACATGCATTCAGCACGTTCTGAGCAGGATGCCACCTTACCTGAAGCTCTACAGCAGAGCAGCAGTTTATGTTCTCCTTCCCAGTGTGATGCCAGCTGTGGACGAGGGACGAAGAGCCGGGTTGTCCTGTGTGCAGGGCTGGAGAACGGGGTGTACAGGGAGTACCCTGAGAAACGCTGTGAGGCTGCACAAAAGCCTGAGGAGCAAGCTGCCTGCTTCATGAGGCCGTGTTCAACCTGGTTCACTACCTCCTGGTCTCAGGTACGGCTCAGCGTGGCGGGGAAGTGGGAGAAGAGCTAACCCTGGGTGGTAAAGCGTGACCTGCAGTGAGGATTTCCAGCAGTTCTGTCTGCTGAGGGCTCTGTTGGGTCTGGGTGGGACCACAAACTCTGCTTTTTAGCAGACCAGGCAGCAAAAGGAAGGACTGGCCCACAGCAGGTGGAGAAAACCTCAGAGCTCGTGGATTATTGCCTCAGGCAGAAGCATGCACCACACTGCAGGTGATGCAATCACGTCTCCTCTGCCAGGAGCTGATGTTCTGTCCTCTTGATTGCTTTAGTTAGCATTTAGTGAATGGGGGGGAGGCGAAGCTGCCATTTTGTCCATCTTCTAAAACAGCACCAGCTTTCAAAGCAGAGCCAACTCTGAGCTGCATTAAGAAGCAGAAAGCAACCTCCTGCCCCAGCTTAGAGAGGCTCTTTTCAAGCAACCGGAGGAGAGCCTGAGTTTGGGCTTAGTGTGAGATCTGACCCAAACCTCCTCAAGAGCAGTCTCCAAAGCACAGACCGCCAGGTCTCAGTGGAGGAAAGGGCTCGGGACCTACAGCTCAATAACAACCCACCTCTCATGCTCTCTCTCCTCTCCCTCGATCCCGACAGTGCAGCAAGACGTGTGGTGCTGGCGTGCGACTGCGCGAGGTGAAGTGCTACCAGGGGGAAGCGCTGGCCCAGGGCTGTGACCCCACTTCCAAACCAGAAGGCAGGCAGACGTGTCAGCTCCAGCCGTGCCCCACAGAGGCCCCAGGTGAGACTGGGAGGGCAGGGAGGAGGAGCCCTGGGAAGCCTTCACTCCCTCCAGCTCTCAGCTTGGAGAAGCGTGGCTGCTTTGTAACCCCTTCTGTGGTTGCTTCTGCTCCCCAGAAGAAGACTGTGAAGACAAAGCGACGGCCAACTGTGTGCTTGTGCTGAAGGTGAAGCTGTGCTCTCACTGGTACTACAGGAAGGCTTGCTGCTGGTCGTGTCGCCTCAAGTCACTGTGACTGCTGCCAGGCTGTAGTTCCCTTCCAAGTTCAGGGCCTCCTGAGCCAGACTTTACCACTTAAAGCCACCTCACTTGGCTTGGCCGTGGAGCCAGTCCCTGTAGAGCAGCCTGCTCAGCAAGAAAGGACTCCTAGGGCTTAGTCATCACCGTTCCCTTTCCACCAAGAGGATTTTACTGAAGACAAACCACCAGTTCCTAGAAAGCTGAGAAGTGAGTTGGGAGAGCCTGTCCCTGCTGTCAGTCGCCTCCAGAGAGCTCTGGTTGGAGGCAGTGGGGCACAGAGCCAGCCTGCAGCAGGGCACAGGCTGCAGTCACCCCGTCCTGCCCTGCAGATTGTTCTGCTACATGGGCGATTTCCAAACACAGCCAAAAAATTCTGTGTCACAATAAAGAGCTAAACTGTCAACTGTGTTTTGGGGATGCACGTGCCTAGGCCGGGGGGGGGGGCAGGGAGAAATCTTAGCATCAGGACAGCTTCCAGGGCAGCTCTGATTGAACCCCATCTTGTGTTGCCTACCAAAAGAACAGAAATCACTCCTGTTTTGTATTTCAAAGTCCTCATTTATTTCTGACATGGAATTTGGACCCATAGCTGAGCAACAAAGACAGAGAATAACAACAGAGGAAATCTGAAGTGGAAAAAATCTGAGATGCTTGCCCCTACCCTGTCCCATTCCTCCAAACCTTACAACCCACAGCTGTATCTCTGTTTCCTGCCCTTTCAGACTCACCCATCCATCTGCAGCTGCCAGGCCCAGGGTTTTGTGCTGGCTGTGAGGGTGACGCTCACCTTTGGCCATCCATCTACCTCGGAGCTGCCTCACCTCATCAGCTGGTGACAGGTCATATTTCATTTGCACATGATGATAATGGTTACTTTCCTCACATCAGAGGGGTGATCTGTAGAAGCAGAACCCCATATTCTCTCCCCACCTGGGGACTGCAAGGTGGGAAGCCTTGCTTCATGCCAAGAGGTAGAGTTGGGTAGTGGGAATGGCCATGCCTACGGCAGTCATGCTGTGACATTAACTTTGTGTGGCTCCAAGCAGGATGGAGACCAAGCTGAGCAGATGCTCTAGTGGGAAAGGACAGCATTTGCTGAGTTAGCCAAGAAAAACAGAGAGATGATATTATCAGGGAAGAGAATTGGATGGGAGCCAGGTGCTATCAGCCAGTGGGATCCACAGAGCGTTGCTGCTGCTAACTTTCTTCTTTCGTCCTGCCTGCCCTTATTGTGAAAGGACACGAAAAGACCTCCTATCGCTGTCTGGAGAATGGAAGGAGACTGTAAAAGAGGTGCAGCTAGACTGAGTCTCAGCATAATGGAAACACAAGGTCTTTCTGGCCCAGAGATGGGGGAGACAGTGAATAATGTTTGCTCATACTCTGTGTAAGATGCATGCTGGGGCACGGTGTCTGGATTGCAAGGACCATCATCATTTTTGGCATTCATCCAGCTCCTTTTCTTTGGGTTGTTTGAGCAGAGGTGCCAAACCAACAGCAGGTCCAGAGTGTCAGTCAGCCTACTGCCTGCTAACCAAGACATCTGAGGCTGACACAGCGTTTGCCTTCACAAGACCTCCTTCACCCATGCTTAAGTGGGGAAACCAAGACTTGGTCCAAATCCTTCAGGTGGCCAATCTCCAAATGGTGGTGGTGAAAGAACACCCCACTTGTACTTCAGAGCAGTTCTACCCAGTATTGCTAGGGCAAGGCAAGCAGTTCCTGCTATTGCTCCTGGCAGCACCTGTGGGCTGGCTGCATCCCTCCTCCCTGCTGCAAGCGGGGAGCAGTGCTGCGCTGTTGCTATGGAAGTGCCCATGGATGATGGAGATGTCCTTTTGGTCATTTTTCACCTAATTGGATTTGTGAAGGAGGAAGGAACTTTCCCATCTTCATTCCGCAGATGGAGCTGTTGGCTGAGCTGTCGTCACAGCCACACAACTGCTGGGTCTGGCTCGGGTCTTCTTCCCAAAGCGAAGGGGGAAATCGTGCTCCATTGGAGCTCCTCACAAAGGAGGGGATGCAACCTGGTGGGCTCTGCTGCTGCAAGCCAAAGCGATTCTAAACCAGCATCCTTCTGGATGGGGTCTGGGCAGGGCTTTGAGGTGATCACACTGCAGTCACCTGACGGTGCAACTCTTGTAAGCAAAACCTCGGTCACTTATGGGCCCAAGTTAAAATCGCTCCTAAGAAAGCTTGTGAGCAGTCAAAGTGGGGGCTTTGGCCGCAGAGAGATCTGCCTGTGCTCATTGCCACGGGTGAACGGTCTTCACGTCCCCTCGCAGTGATCCAGATCCTCTCCTACAACTGCAGCACAGGCTGCAGTGGGTGAAGCAGCCCGAGCCGAGCCCTGTGTTAGTCCCCAGCACAACCTGAGCTGCTGACAGCGGTGCTGCGGCCAGGGGGAGCAGGATGCCCCCAGACTCCCATTCCCACTGCTCTGTGCTTCCCATCCCCATCCTGTGTGCAGGGGACGTGGGCACAGCCTCAGCTGGAGATGGAGGACACCAAAGGCGCTGCTCCGGGGAGCAACAAAGTTAGTCTGTACTGTACATAGCCCTCATTAGACAAGTTCCTTCAGGAGATAGAGAAATAATTACACTTGTAGGTGCAGAGGTCGCCGTCCGGATAACCTCCTCCACGGTAACCCGTGAGGCTCCACCACTCCCCTCCATCAGGAGGGCCACGTCGCCCTCGGGCTCTCCCTGCACGACCCCCACTGTCTGCAAGCTGACAGCCCCATCCCTCGAGCGGGGTGCACGGTGGGGGTCACACATCTGTGCTGATGGCCCTGGATGGGGGGAAGCCCTCGCGGAAGCTGTGCCGGCTCAGCGGGAAGCCCTGCAGGCCGACAGGCGGCCCCATCTCGGGGTAGCAGGCGGGCGCGTAGGCCACGCGCTCACCCCCATTGCGCACCATGTCGGGGGTCCGTATGTAGAACGGGGAGCCGTACGGGGAGCAGGTGGGGCAGCGGGGATGGGCCCCGTGCTGGTTGAGCTCGGGGATGGGAGTGGGACTGCCCTGCCCGTCCGCCATGCGGGAGCTGCAGGCGTTGCACGTGCCGGGGTGCGAGTGCGTGGGAAGGTCGGACTCTTCCTCTTCCTCCTCCTCCTCCTCCTCTTCGTCATTGGGGTCATCTTTCTTGCAGCAGTAGTACTGCGGAGATGGATGGGGTAGGTGAGCACGGGGCAGCCCCAGGCACCCACCTGGGACACATAACTTAAGGGTAGATGTGGCACTGAGGGACACGGTCAGTGGTGGGGATGGGTTGGGCTTGGACCTGGTGATCTCAGCGGTCCTCCTCAATCTTAATGACTCTATGATTCTATAATTCCAGTTTGAGCAAAACCAATGTTGACTCTACTAACAAATTAATACAAATTAAAGAAGTGAGAAAAGTGCTGGAGCAGGAGTGGGGCAGCTTTTCTCAGCCCCGTGGCAGGAGATGCTGGAGTTCCCCACTGCTGGAGCTGCCTGCTTGGCTCCATCAGACTGGGACCTGAGGGTGAGACCCAGCCAGGAGCAGATGGGGGCTAGCAGGGGAATGTGTCCCCTCCCTTCACAGTGAGATCTGCATGGGGAAGGGATTTGGGGATGCCACCCTCCCAGTAGCCTCTGTGCTTTCCAGCATGTTGCTGCATGGCACAGACTCAACATTAACTTTTAAAGAGGTTGTAGCCAGCCGCCGTTGAAAGCTTCCTCGTCTAATTTACAGGGGAAAAAAAAAAAAACAACCCAAAAGCTCTTCATCTGGTATTGTAAATCCAGCCAAGCCTACACCTAAGTGAGCAAGCACTGCAGCTCCTCAGATTCCTGCGGGAGGCAGTCGGGCAGCCTCACCCTGCCCAGCACGGGCACAAAGCCCCCCAAGCCCCTCCTGCACCCCGGCACGATGGATGTCCCCACACTCACCTGTAGCCTACAGTAGCAGAGCACAGCAATGATGCACAGTAGGATCACTGTCGCTAGGATTCCCCCGGTGATGACAACAGTTCCCGCTGTCATCCGACCGATTCTCCATCAAACTCTGAAAGGCAGAACATGGGGACAGTCACCACCAAAGCATCATCGTTCTGACCCCACGTCCCCCATTGGCACTTACCCAGGGATGCGGTGGCCGCTGGCGGTCACGCCGGCCCCGGGACGGCTGGGGGGGGCTGGCAGCTCTGCATGGCTCTAGGGAGATGCCTGCAGCTCTGGGAGCAGAGACAAGGAGGAGAAGAAGCCATCAGCTCAGCCCTATCCCTGCCATCATCCCCGTTGCCATCGTGTCCCATCAGCGGCCCTCTGTGAGCCGCTAATTGATAGGACCCAAGCTCTGGCAGCTCGCAGCTGAGCAGATCTAATTACCCTTCGGTCACACGACCCTAATTGATGCGGGGAAGTGGCAGCTTCCAGATCACAGCTGCCAACCTGCTCATGTGCCCGAACCGCGGGAAAAGCCCCAAAAACTCATCTCAGCGTGGTTTGCCAGCAGCCACGCATTGATTTCCAGCACTCAGAAAGGCACACTGCAAAGCCAGAAGGATGGTTTGGATTTACTTCCTTTCTCAAGCCACTCTCACACACAAAACAGGAAAAAAATGAAAAAAACCTCAAGAAATCGATATGCCCACCAGCCAGCTGATAGGGCCATCCATCAGCACGCCAGCACGGAGCTAACAACAGGGACAGCACGCTCTGTGACAGCCACACCGCACCCTGGATGGCTCGGGGACACCCCACAGAGCCACCAAGTGCTTCATGCAGAGAGACGGGGACACATCTGTCGGCACCCCTGGGGCCCTCCCTGCCCCATGCCATCCCACTGTCCCCAGTGGGGACGAAGCAGGCTGACCCTGCGGGCAGGCGTGGGGCTGCTTGGCGCAGAGATCCATTTTCTTTAATTGATGCCGTGCGGCAGCACAAACTTACAGCCTGAGCAGCGGCTCTGGAGCGAGCGGATGCTATATTTATTTCCCTTCAATGACGTCCGTGCCGGACGCGCACAGCTAGCAGGGCAGCACATTCCCTTTGCTGGTGTGGGTCAATGCGTGCCAGTGCTTTCTCCTGTCTGGACAGCCCCAGTCTGTTTTGTCGCACACCCATCCCTGCACCCGCACGGCAGCAGCTGTGGATCAACCCCATGTGGGGCAGACGGACAGACGTGGGGCTGTGTGCGGGTGGCTCAGCCCCGCTCTGCAGCCTGGGCTAATTCAATGAGCTGTCTGCCTGGTGAATTAGCTGCCGTGGCCTCACCAGCATCCATCCTCTCACAGGGCCTAATTGGAACAGAACAGCGCCGGGATGGGCTGAGCACCCTGAGGGGCCGCGGCAGTGGGTGGGAGCCCAAAGATAACCCTGATAGGAGAGACCCCAGTGCCTCTCCCTGTCCCATCAGGGCTGCCCTGCGTGGCCTCGCAGGAGGGATGTGATGGGCACAGGGATGGGAAGCAGCTGTAGGGACCCACTGGTGTCTGCTGGGACTGGGCAGTTCCCAAATGTCCCAGAGTTTCGGTGGGAAGGGAACAATTCCTGAGCACACGCAGCACATGGCTGAATGGATCAATTGCAAATACCAGAAGAAACGAGCAACATAGAAAACCATAGAGTAGGAAAAGCTTAGAAGGCTCCAACAAAGCAGAGTGGCCTCCAGCACCAGAGCATTGGAGCGCAGGAGGACCTGTGCGCTGTGTCTGCAGGCACATTCCATCCTCCTCTGATCTCAGCTCCCGTCCACCTTTCTCACCACTTCTACCAAAAGAAGCCCAGCCTCAGGTTTATTTCTCACCCTCTGAGCCAGAACAACCGGTGTGCACCCTACAGGGCAAAATGGCTGGGGAACAGGGATGTCCCAGATGTCCCCAGACACCTTCCTGCCCTACAACATGCCAGGGAGCCAGCGGGATTCAATTAGCGAAGATCGTTAAGGGATAACGAAATGGAGAATTGCACAGTTGGGTGGGGCAAGGAAAGGGGGGGCTGTGGGGCAAAGCCTTTGAGCAGGGAGCTCAGGGAGGTGTGGGACCTCTGCCCACTCACTTGGGGCACGGATTAGAAGAGGGCACCACATCCATAAGCCACCATCTGGAAGGAACCAGCAGCCCAGGCCAGGGCTGCAGCAGGCAGCAGGTAACTCTCTGACTGCTGCCACCTCCCAGAAGCACTCCAAGGGCTGGCAGCAGCTATAACCCCACTGTAACACCCATGGCCCTTCTGCATGGAGAAAGGGCTGCGAAGGGCGCACAGCCTCTCCCCTGTGCATGATGCAACCGCTGCTGCCCGGCTGTCAGCAGCCCCCAGCATCTTTGCTGGGAGCATAAACAGAGGTTTGTTGTAATGACTCATTAAGATCTAATTGCATTCCCCCAGCAATACAGGGAAGCAGCCTCCCACGTGCAGCAGTACTACAGCCAGCAGCCGGGCACCATCCCCTCCCCAAAAGCGCGGGGCAGACAGAGCGACGCTGCCATCCATCCCCAGAACAACGGGAGCCCAAAACCCCAGAGCAGCATCGGGTCTGCGCTTCCTTCTATTCCTCATGGGGGATGCTGAGCTCCAGGGGGAAGCCGGCACCTGGATACCCATTGCCAGAGCATCAGCATCACAACAGAGCCTCCACCCTGCAGCATTAAGGCCCTCTGACCTCTCCCCTCACTCTCTTTAAGGGAGACTCCACCAGCCCTATCCACGGTCACTTTTCAGGGCCGTCACAGGGGAATCACATCAGGAAGCCTCTCAGCCTTGCCACAAATGAAGCATGAAATGTGCTTTCAAAAGAACACGGGTAACAGAGCCCCGATGAATATTTCACCTCGCTGGGATGTGGTGTGGGGTGATGCGGCTGCAGGGAAAAAGAGGCAGCAGAGCAGGGAGCGCTCCGACCTCTCTAATGCTTTGCTGCTGGGTTTAGGTGCAGCCCTAGCGGACCCACAAAGGAGCAGTGCTTGTAGAGCTGATCCTGCCCATGGCCAAGCTCAGCGGTGCTGCTCAAGCTGAAGAATCATCTCCATTTCTGGAAAGGCCTCTACCACATTTGGCCGTTCCAAACATCGCCTTCCAGGCAAGGTTGGGGATGATCATAGCCAAAGCACAGCAGTTGGGCCCCCAGATCCAATCCCACGGCAGCAATTTGGCCACAAAGCATTCAGCTGTCCCTTCTGACAGCACCGTGCCCAGCACCCAAAACCCAGGTGAGTCCATCCAAACCACTCCATGTGCAATGGCCACAGGGTGCTCCACCTGGGATCGCAGGGTGGAACAATGGGGCTGAAATACAGCGCTTTGGAGAGGTGTGGGAGCACATCCCATGTCCCAGTAGAGTGGGATCATTCCCCCTTGGGAATGGCATCTTCATAGAATCACAGTCCAACTCAAACGATGCTATGATTCTGTGGTTCTTACATGCCTTGGATAGCTGCTCAACAAGTGAAGCCCTCTTGGATGGAGAATTTCCCCCCAAGCCCAGCTCTGAGTCCACAGGACCCCAATGGGATGATGCTCGATGTGAATGAGCAGCCCAAAGGCACCACAAACAGCATCACACAGCAGCTCCACACCTCGGATGCACGAGGACCAACGTGGGGAAGAAGAATAGAAGCCCCCACGACACAACGCTCCATTGGGTGGAATATTCCACGGCCTATCAGAAACCCTCTCCGCTGCAGAGGCAATCAATAGCACATAACGAAAAGTGGCTGGAAACGCTAGGTGCTTCCACATGCCCTTTTGTGGGGAACCAAACCCTCCAGGATAACCTTAGGAGAAAACAAAAGGCAGACCCATAACTCAAGCACGGGTCTCCTTCAATTACTGAAGCTCAGCCAGAGACAAACCAGAGATCCTCAGGGATAAACAAAGGGGCCGGGCACCATCCGCACCCCAAAGAGTCAACACCACAAAGTTGGGCAGTGCGAACCCAAGGAGATGAACTGGGGTCCTGTGGTTCCGGAGCCCCCCGTAGAGCATCCCCTGCCCCGGGGGGGGGGGGGTTCCAAGCGCTTCATCCCAATCCTCTTCCCCTTTTCCCAGACCCTTTATCCCAAATCCTTGACCCTTACCTGGGAGCCGGCACACAGCGGGATCGGAGTGGAGCAGCGCCGCCGGGCGCGGGCAGGAGGGGGAGGAGGAGGAAGAAGAGGAGGAGGAGAGGCAGAGGAGCGCGCACCGAAACCCGGGAGGCGCCGTGTGTCCGCCCGGGGGTGGAGGCAGCGGGGAGGAGTTTGCCCGATTGCGTGGAGCCGCCCCCGGCCCCGCACCGCCCCCGGCCCCAACCTCGGGGTGTCCCCCCCCTATAGAGAAGCTCTGGAACGGAGCCATTCGTCTCCATCACCCGTCCCACAGCGCTGCCTTGGCCATAAGGCTGCAGGGAAGGAAACCTTCGCTCGGATGGCAGCAGGGTCAGGGCTCCTTTTTTCCATTTCTCTGGGAAGGAGTTCCTTTGGGAACAAGGAAGGAGGTGGGGAACAGCGCTGTGCTTTCCAACCCATGGAGTTTTACATGAAGCACGTGGGTCGGGGAGCCCCACCAGCATGTTTTAGGGTCGGCGGCAGCAGCCTGATCCAATGCACTGCACAAGCTGAGCATGCTTCCTATTTATTACAGTTTGGGGGAAATCTCACTCCCCCTCATCCTCAGACATCCCAGAGCTCCAGCGCAGTCACCCTTACAGCATGCAGACGTTGCAACCCAACTCGTAGAAGCGGTGTAGGATCCCCTCTGCCTGCTTCCGCAAGAGAATTTGCTGAAGAGTTTTAAACTGAAACCAGAAAATGCTTCCAGTCCTGCCCGTGCTCTCTGGCAAAAATTAGAGCTCGGACTCCACTCCCAGCATTGGCTCTTCAGCTGTGTGTTTGCTGGGACACTTGTGAACACAGACACCTCTCTGTCCTGCACGCATCCCAACGCACCCAGGGGTGCTCAGGAGCATGGAGCAATGCTGCTGGGTGACAGAAATGCCACCTCCTGCCCAAATAGGGATTGATGTTGAAGACAGCCCCTGCATGCTGTACAACCCAAGGCTGTATATTCCCCTCCTGGGTGGTGGATGCAGTTCAGCAGCACACAGCCCCAGCCCAGGAGCCCCATGTGTCTTCTCCTCCTGGGAACAGCTGGGAAAAGAAAAAAAAAAAAACCCTCAAGAAGTTTAAAAAAAAAATAACAAAAACACATTCACTTCCAGCCCAAGAAGGATTCTCCCCCCCACACCTCCCCCCTGCACCAGGAGAAGTACTGCTCCCAGCCCCCACGAGTCCTCAGCCTCAATATTTGATGAAGCCTAGAAGCTTTTTTCCGGTGCAGGAAGGAAACGCAGCTCAATGCGGCAGAGCAGAGCCATGAGCCCCTCTCTATGACCCCCCTTTCTATGACCCCCCCCTCCCACTGTGCTATGGTTCATCCTCTCTGCCCTCTCTCCCTGCTGTCTCCTCCTGGTGCCAGCACAGTGCCATAGGCACTGGGATATGCAGGGGATTCTGCTGGGGTTTAGCCATCCCAGGCTCGCTGCCTCCCAAGGAAACCACCCCGTGGGGCTGCCAGCTGCTGTTGCAGGTTGTCTCACCTGCCAAATCACATGGACTGGGGCACACAGTGAGTGGGGAGCCACTCACATGGCACGGCTGCACCTTGCAGGAGCTTGTAATGGTCCAGCAGGGACAGGCAGTGCTGCACTGGGGGCCAACAAAGAGGGGATGTGGAGGTGCCAACGTGACCCCAATCCTAACCCTGAGCCCAGCGCATGGCTGAGAGCCTCCAATGCAGCTCAGACCCTTCCACTGCAGGCCCTGCCCACCCCACAGAGCCCAGCCTTGGCCTCATTTCAGGCTGGGCAAGAGACGGTCCAGCCCCAGAGGTAGCAAGATGATGTTGAACCTCCTAATGGAGTTTGACAGCAGTGGGATTAAAAGCACGGGTGAGATCGCAACCCCTCTGCAATCAGCTCCTGCCTTTAAAGAGCTGAACCAGAAAGGAGAGCTCCTGGCAGCAGGGTACTGGGAGGGAGCGCGCACGCATGCACATAGGCTGCTGCCCTGGGGAGCAGCTCCAGCACTGTGCAGCGCCCACAGGAACCCCTCCTCTTCCTCACTGCTGGGAGCAAGAATGGCAGAGAACACCCAGGCTGCTGGGCATGGATCAGCAGAGCCAGGAGGACCCATCTGGCTGCAAACAAGTGCTCAGCAGGACACCCAGAGACTATATATCCTCGGGGTGCAGTGCCCAGAGCCCCAGCACCAGCACTGAGCAACAGCACAGCACAGCCCTGCACCAACTGAACCCACATTTCCCCAAGGGATGCCCCAGAAGCTCTGCTCTCTGAGTCTTCCACGCCCCTCAGGTAGGAACATCTCAGCACAAGAATGACCCCAGACAACTTGTAATGCTTCAGCAGAAGCAGTGCAGTTCGTTCATTCTGCTTGGTCACCTTCAAAAAGCTATCAGCTCCTCAGCACTGCCCACACCGCGCTCATCCCAAAGCCACCCCTGCAGCTGCTCAGCACCAGCTAATAGGAGCAAGGAGTTCCAGTTTGCCCCTGAGCACAGGGAGCCCTGCAGACAGCGCATATGCTGGGGAAGGGAAGCACTGATGGGTTCTGACACTGTGCAGGGGCTGAAAAGGCAGTTCTGGCTCAAGACCTCATTCTGCAGTGACCTGTGCTGTGAATGTGCTTTTTTCCCTTTTTCTTGCTAAATGGAAAGAAAAAGAAATCCTTCCAGGTCAGAGGAAAGAAAAGCACTTACTCACGGGTCAAGTGAAGCAATGTGAAGCAGCCTTGAGTGCAGCTTTACCTTCCCTAAACCATGCAACGATTCCATTTCCACTGGAAAAAAAAACAACAAAACACCTAAAAATAAAAAAGAGAACGGTTTTGGCATTAGGAGCATTTCATTTTTTTAAAGCCAAACTGACTTGCTGGATCAGCTCCACTTTGTGAAGCATAGGGCAACCCAAAGGCACACAGGAAAGCGGATGGAGGAAGCAGAGCTGGAATACTTCAGCTCTCTGCAATAGCAGTGCCACCCCGGTACCCCCAGATCCAGGTTTTGGGGTGCAGCCCCACTCCCAGGGTCTCAGCCAGGAGCCCCCATGTTTCCATCACGCCATCCTACCACCCCAGTTGACTCCCCCATACCACAGCTCCACACCTTGTCCAAGTCCATTAGCACATCCCTGGGGCACACACACCTCGCCAGCACTCTGCTAACCCTGGCTTTCAAGGAGAGCTGCAGAGCTGTACTGCCTTTCCATTTTTCATTTGCTTTGAACACTCTGGTCCTGTGCCCCAGGGGCTCCCGGTCAATAATTACTGTTACAAAGAAATTGTTCAGTTCCTTCCAAGCTTTGCAGCTTGCCCAGGTTCACCCCACACCCAATGAGCAGGGATGCAGGTGCAGCATCGCACTTCAGTCCCTGAAGCAACAATCTCTCTTTTTCCACCTTCTTAAGCAATAAATGTACAACCAGAGACCTGCTGGGAACGAGAAACATGACCTGAGCTGTACTAGGAAGATCAGCCCAGGTCATGTGGAGCAGGGAAACAGCCCCAGGAGCAGGGTTAGTTTGGGTTTTTAGATATCTGCAGATACTGCAGCAGGAACAGTACTCACATAGCAAGCAGCAGCATGGCACAACCTCCATGAGCCCACCAGTCACACATCTTCCCACATGCAGTGCTTGTAGCTCCTCCACAACCTGCTCCCAACCTTCCCTCCAACCATCTTGGCAGTGGAAGGAGCTCCTAAGCCATGGGGGAAGCCTCAGTGCTGTTTAATGCTTGCAGGCTTCTCCCCTTGGGTTTGCCTGTTCCCATCAGCAGTGTCTGTATCTCCATTTCTGGGATCCCAAACGCACCTCCTATCCCCAATTACAGTCCCATGAGATGAGAACAGGTGGGATGCAGCCAGCAGTTCCCTAAAACAGTTTCATCCCCCTGCTGCTTGGTGAGCTGGAGATGAGAGGTGATGGTCTTGAAGCTGCACACGAGGGTCCAGGGTGAATATTGGGAAAAACTTCTTCTCAATAAGAGCAGTGGTGCATTGGCACAGACTGTCCATGGAGGTAGTGCACCCTGGGGGTGTTCAATAACTGTGCACTGAAGGATGTGGTCAGTGGTGGGGATGGGGTTGGACTTGGGGATCTTAGAGCTCTTTTCTCAACCTTCATGACTCTATGAGACGCAGCTGCCCAGGTCAGCTCCCCTGTGAGCTGTTCCTGCACGATTCAGGGGTTGCTGAGGCACAGGGATGTTTCCCACCCTGATAGAATGTTTCCAGCAGCTCCTTCCCTCCGGGATCGCCCTAGAGGAGCAGTTTCAGACTGAAGAGAGCAGAGCTGTGCCTCGGCCGCCACCTAGCAGCGATCCAGCAGAGCTGGGGACATCGAGACAGCCAGCAGAGCTGGGCAAACGCACTGCGCACTCCTCTGCACAAGCAGTCTGCAAACACATGGCAGAGACAGCCAAGCTCCATCTACTTTTAGCTTTCTGTGTTTCAGGACATCCCACCCCGGCCTCGTATCAGCACTACACACTCAGCACTTTAAGAGAAAACTCTGCTCTCCACATCCACACATGGGGCACTGAGGGATGAGAGGGCTGCCAGGACCACCAGCATCCCCAAAAACCACCATCAGCAGTGAAGGATGTCATTACAAACCAGTGTCAGCCCACACCAGCAGCACAGCCAGCTGCCTGTTTCACCAGTACCTCAATCTTGTCAGCATTTCCCCAAGCTGCTCAGAACTATCCATATCCTTCCCTCTTTCTGGGGGTATGGCTCTGAGCCAAAGGGCTTCAGGGTGGTGACTTGTGATTTTGGTCCATTTAGAAAGCATTTGGTTTGGACCAGGTAACCAGAAAACACACAGCATCTCTGCCAAAGTAGGTCTGGGCTGGATGAGCCCGCTTACCTCCAGAGTCCATCTCCTTCTGCCCTTGACACTGATGGTTTCTGGTGTTCTCTATCAGAAAACAGCCCAGAAAACAGGTTGCTGTTCTGCTTTGGACAATTCACACACTTGTAAGGTGGGAATGGGAGTGCAATGACAGCATCCAAAAGCCACAGGGCAACTTAGCATGCAGCTGATACAGCAGTGAAACCAGCTGCTGGGGATGGGGCTATGGAGAAGGCAATCAGCAACAGGAAGAAGGGTTTTCTAGGTGACTTGAGATCAAAATACTCAAGAATATCTGAGACTCAATTAAGGCAGCATCACAGCCCCTGACCCAGTGCAGAAGGTGCCTTGGTTGAGCCAGGCAGTGCTGGAGGCAGTGCCAGAGACATACCAGACCACAAACCAGCAAGGGAAGGAGATGAAACAAAAGCTGGCAGGGAGGGGAGTAGAGCCAGGGCAGAGCTCAGCTCTGGAGAAAGGCACCTATGTGTCCACAGGTTAGATAAAGCCAAAACCCAGCTGCTCCTGGCTGGAACAGAAGGATCCTGACCCAATTATCACCTGGCTCCCTTCCCTATAACACTTCACACAGCAAGCTTTTATCCTCAGCTTGAGGCAACAGTCATGAACCTCACCACTAAGTAAACTCAACACAAAAAAGAGAGGAGGAATCACAAGGCTTGAAAGAAGTGCTGAAGAGCTACCAAAAGCAGCAGGATGCTGTCTATAAGCAGCTGCTCTAGGTAGCTTGGCTCGAGGACAACTCCCAGAATGGAGTTCAGGGGCTTTGCCTTAAACTGAGCTGTCCTGGGGGACAGTCCCCACATAGCCATTCAAGTCCCAGTGACTCTGGACAAACCAGGGCACCCCAAGATACCTGCCTGCACTTTTTGCAATAGGGCAGAAAGCTACCAAGCAATTAGATTTTTTCACACAGCCCAAAAGTTCAGCATTCCTATCCTTTCCTCATAGATGCTATTCCTCCTCCACAGGAGAGGAGCTGCTACAGAAGTAATCTCTAGGATAGAAAAACAGATGTTGCCCTCCTCTTTTGGGACGTGAGGAAAACAGACCTTCCAGGAGCATTCAGCTCATTCAAATCCCAGCTATAAAACCAAGCAGATGTTACAGCCCATGCTATATGGGGAACAAGGATCCAGTATATCAAAATATAACTGAGCCCATCTTAGTGTTTGAAAGGACACAAAATACTTTTTTTTTCTTTTATTCCCTCCCAGACTGCCCACTACTCAGGTCACAGAGATACATATCCAATTTTCCCTGAGTTCTCATCCCAAGAAGGCATCACAGCAACTGTTTTCCCAAAGAAATGGGAATGCTTAACTACCTCAGGCCACAGAAACCTCCCTGTCACATCAGGGAGAAGTAGAAAAAGAAAATTCTGCAGAGATGTTCCCATTTGAGGACTTTTATTAGATTGCAATGAGCAGAAAAACTAAGACAAAAAAGCACTCAAACCTAGCCAGCTCCATTGCCCACGCAACTCTGAGCAAGCACAAGTGTTTCATCCATTTTCATGCTAGAAGACAAACACTTTTGTTACAACCTCATGGCCTTAACACAGGACCAGAAAGTCAGGCAACTTCTGACACTCCCTGTAGGGCTACACAGCAGCTGCACAATGCATAACTCCCATAGCTCTCAACTTCTCTGCTTTCACCTCCTTTCACTGGCTTTTTGCCCAGTTGTTCACTAACAACCACCCATTTTTCTTTCTTGCTCTCTGCAGTTCTACCCTCATCCACATTCAAAAATTACAACTAAATGGTGAAATTCAAAGAAAATAGTCATCTTTCCTTCATCAGTGCTTCTCAGGGAAAACTCTTAGGTCTGAATCAACTGGGCACACAGTTCATTCCTAGAAAGGAAGCCCTCAACAGCCACAGTGAGATACCAGCACAGGCTGCCCAGGGAGGTGGTGGGGTCACTGTCCCTGGAAGTCTCCAAGCAAAAGGTACATGCTGCACTGACATGGCCCAGAGCAGTCTACAGGCATGGGCTGATGGTTGGATTAGATGGTCATAGTGGTCTTTCCAAGCATAATGTACTTGAAGGGAGCATTTAAACAGGAAGGGGAATGGCTGTTTACAAGGGTGGATAGTGACAGGGTTGGCATACAGCTCTCCTAACAGCAAGGCTTGAGCAAGAGCACCGACTGTGTTAAAACAGATGAAAACATAACCACCTCCTGTACACACACACCGAGGGAGGGATGCATTTCCAGTTTTCCCCTCCTCAGGTTAGAGCACAACGTGACACTCAAGACGTTCTTCTAAATCATTAAAGAGCAATAAGGCAGTATAAGACCAGTACAAGTAAAACAGAATATTATCCTCCACTAAAAGTAACATGTGCTACAGGCACCGGGCATGTCTGAGAAGATGTCACACAAGTTTTTCAAACAAGTGCTTTATAATTAAAAGAATGACAGTACAGTAATATTTCACTGCTCCACAGAGCCTTCCTCAGCAACAGCTCCATTTGCTTCTTTCACCTCTTCTTACAGTTCCTTTCTTCGGCCTGGGAGCCAGTGGAAGTAGCCACGACAAGTGGCTAAGCGTGCAGCAGCTGCCAACACTGCAGACAACGTGGTAGGAGGGACATAGAGCTTGCAGGACATCTCTTGCTCAGACAGCGCTCTGGCGCTGCACTGCTCAAGTGCAAGATTCTCAGGAAGGTCTTTGTTCTTCATTTTCTCATCACCTGCATAAGGAAGGAGACAGGAAAATACCTGCATGAATCTCTTAAGAGTTTCAGCTTAGATAGCAATATCTGCTTGCTGTACTTGATCAGGTGATTGCATGACTACTTCCTACTGCAATCTTACTGAATTAACTTGAAAAAGATGAAATCCAAGAGGTTCTCTCTATCTCCCCCCAGCTCTCATCCCTATTTCCCTCAGAGGTGGGAAAAACGACTTAAAGTGAATAGCTCCTATCTTGATGACTGGGGCCTCAACTCCAGAAAACAGCAAACTGTTCTATTTCAAGAAATACACATATACTATCTCATGCAAGCCACTTCACTTTGGCTTGTAAATTGGGCAACTCGCACATGGGGGCTGTAAAATTCTTTCATTATTTTGAAAACAGAAAAAAAAAACCTATCCCCTGGTGGACCTTTTAAGGTTAAAAAAGTACTTTTCTGCCTTACAGCTAGAAGGAGAAACTCAGTATGAAATGAACATAGCCTAATGTAGGGAATGGAAAAAACAAAAACTTCAGCATGAAAAGAGCAGAAAGTCTAGGAACCACAAAAAAAAAAAAACCCTGAGAGAAAAACACCTCAATTCACTATGCTTACTATGCTTACAGAGGTTAAAACAAAGCATTGCATCCAGCCATTTATTTTTGTCACAGCTCGTCCCACAGAAATACCAACAAGTCCATCAGGTCTAGCAAAGAAGAGCACTACGATACTTTCACATTGACTGCAGGTCTCAAGGGACAGTAAGAGATTGCTCAGCTTTCCTCTACATTAAACTTTACTGATAAATCCATTCGTACTGTTACGGTTGTCCAGCATAAATGGTGCTGCCATAAGTAGAAGAGAGGCATGTAGAACTTCACAAGACAGGGCTTTGTCGGAAAATCCTTCTACATTATTAGGGCCATTTTGGCTCGCTTCTGCTGGTTGCTTGACATAGAGGAAGGAGAAGTAGTCTTCCAATGACTTGAAGAAGACAGTAGGCCTTAAGGACTCTCCAAGAGGATGAGGTGTCTGCAATTATATTAAAACAAACAAACAATAAACCCTCAGGAGAGGGTGCGATTAGTGCACACTCAGTTCATTAGCTGCCCTGACCTTCATGATCTCCCTCAGAGTTCATAAAGAACTGAAGTGTCAGCAATAGGATTTTAAAAAAAATACTAGTTACTTGCAACCCCAGGCAAAGGGCAGCTCTTCCTGCACAGTGAGCTGAAAAGAGTGGCAGATTATTACAAGATACAAATTAGCATGTCTTAGCAAAGAATTAACAGCTGGCTCATCTCTCAGCAGCCCCACACAAAACAAGTGATGACAGAGGGAGTTTCTGCAAGGGAGTGAGATCTGAGTCAGAGGAAGTTCCTCTGTGTTTTTTGTCACAAATACAAATTAAATTTAAGTTCCAGGGATGACCACCTACATCTCAGTCAAAGAATGGGACTGAAGCCAGTGTTTTTATTTACTGATTCAGCATGAAGCATGACAAAATAGTGAGACAGGCAAGCCACCGTGCAATTCATCTGCCCAACGGTAGCTGCTCAAAAATTAGGGGCCCACTTTGTAGGCTTCTTCTGCTGAGGCAGCAGAAAAAAGGCACCCACCTTCAGATGAGGTGAATCACCCTCCAGAGGTGCATCATCCACTTGTGAGAGAGCATTCAGATGATTAGCCCGGAACAAAACAGTTTTATACAAGGTGGTCCCGGATGACTGGAGGAAGGGTCACGTCACTCCCATTTACAAGAAAAGGAGCAAGGAGGACACTGGGAAATACAGGCTGGTGAGTCTCACCTCTGTGCCTGGGAAGATCATGGAACAGATCATCCTGGATGACATACTTGATCACACGA